AGCACTCGCTGTAAGGCAGACCTGTAGATAGAGATGCAGGCAGGACACATGGCAGCCCTCCAGCTCTCATCCTCCAAGGAGAGCCCACTTGGCTGGATGGCCAAGTGGTGGGTAGTGGTCCGCGAGAAGACCTGTACTCTGGCCTTTATGGGATTAGAGGGGAGATAGCAGAGTGCAGGGAGCATCTGGCCAGCCACAACACAAAGGACCTTTAGAGTGAAGAGAATGTTCCAAGTTAGGAGGGGGACATTGGAACCTGAACTTTGGCTGCTCATGACTGTGGCTTTCCTTGCCGAGCTAGCTCCTTCACAGGCTGTGCAGGACAGGGAGGTGAGGCTGGCCATGAGATCATCCTCAGACAAAGGTCATCCCTCCTTCATGACGTAAGACACCATTCCTATCTCATCCTGAGGATGAAAATGTCTTTTGCAGAGGAACAATGAGGACATGGCACATGTCTCATACAAGTGTGAGACCTGAATAAGGGAACACAGGTCAGTGCTGAGTGTGACACTTTGGCCTCAGTGAGCACATGTCAATCATAGCTTGTGCATAGACCAAGGGGAGCCCAATGGCCATACTCACTTGAATGCAAAGCCCCCACTTCAGCCTCATGCTTTCTTCATTGTGTTTTCTTTATAACAGGGTTAAGGACCCTAATGATAATGGGCTCTGTTGGTCCCCAAGGCATGCAGGCTCCCAGTTCCTGATTCCATTCCAAGAGGCCCATGATTGAGATGCCATCTGGGCTACCCTTCAGTGCTACTCACAATGCTGGTAGAATCAAGCTGAGGTAACAGTTATGGAGAAATACTAGCGGAGAGGTATAGGACTGATGGAGGACCTGCCACTAGAGAAGACCCCTGGTGCAAAAGACCAGTGGAATGGCACCTTGACTGATAAGAGAGCCTTCAAGCTTATGAATGAAGAGGGACCTCAGATGTGGGGATCACCTCAAATGTGAGGATCACTCCAGCCAAGATCACCTAAAACATGGTGGATCCTTCAACCATAGGGATGACCTCAGACTTGGGGAAGACCTGAGACTTGGAGATGACCTCAGACATGGGGTCACCTCAGACCTAGAACGTAACCTCAGACAGAGGGATGACCTTAGACATAGGATGCTATTCCAAACATGGGATCCCCCAGACATAAGATCAGACATGGGGATCACCTCTGAGATGGAGCATCACTTAGAACGCAGGGATTTTGTTGATAAGCTGCCTTTCCTTGGGCCCCTCCAAAACGGTAAGGGGTATTGGTAGCCCAAAACCCTGAGAAGGGTCTTAAGCCTCCAAACACCAGAAAACCTGACTTGCAAATCAGCCCACAAGTTTGAGGGGCAAAATTTGATCTGTGACTTAAACCATGAGGGCCAGATGTTGTCACCTACTATGGCCACCTCTCTCACCAAAGGGCACAGTTCTCACCTCAGACAAATCCTGAAGTGTTAATTGTTTTGTTGTGGTTTTGGGGTTTGAATTTAGGGTTTTGTGCTTGCGAGGCAGGCACTCTATTTATTTAGTTATTTTTTGAATAGGGTCTCACATTTATGCCTGGATAGGCCTGCATTGCAATCCTCCGATTTATACTTTCCATCTAGGTGGGATGACAGGCAGGTGCCACCAGGTCCAGCTTCTACTGGTTGAAAGGGGATCTCTTACACTTTTTGCCAGGGCTGATCTTGAACTGCTGTCTTCCTGATCTCCACCTCTTGAGTAGCTAGGATTACAGACCTGAGCTACTGCTCCTGGCTTGGTTTTCTTTTAATGACCTTATGACCAGGAAGACTGAAGCTTTCATCTTTTCTCGAGGGACATGACATCAAATAATTTATTGGTTTCTGTTAAAACTGTCTTTTAGTCAGGTGCTGGTGGCTCATGCTTGTAATTCTAGCTACTCAGGAGGCACAATCAGGAAGATCACGGTTCGAAGCCAGCCTGGGCAAATAGTTCACAAAACCCCATCTCGAAAAAACCCATCATAAAAAAGGGCTGGTGGAGTGGCTTAAGGTGCAGGCCTCGAGTTCAAGCCCCGTCTATATATAGGTTCACCCTGCCTGAGGCTCTGGACAGAACTGCTCATGCTCCAGGAACTGGCTGAGGATCTCCCTGACAGGAGCTGCCCCTGTGCCAAGCTGGGATCAGCTGCAGGCCAGTACCAGGTTTAAGAGAGGCTAGAGAGTGAGAATGAGGCATTTCTATCTCCAATGTCCCTAGACCCAGGAAGAGGGCTCTGCAGCTGGAGGACAGTATCCCTCCATCTTAGAGGGGACTTTGCTGGCCACTCCCACCATCATTTATAGAGATAATTATCCTCCTGGTCCCTGGTACTTTGCCTGCAGCTGGTGCTCCAGCTGTCCTACCCACAAACCATGCTATCCACAGGAGAGGAGCCTAGTGCAAAGCCTGGGGGCCAGTAAGTGTTCAGTAAACAGCTGGAAGACTAAGCGTACCAGCAAGTGAGAGAGCCAGGGAGGGAGCTGGTAAGGGCCTGGGGGAATGGCTCCGGGAAGGGCCCAAGTGAGGATGGGCAGGGATGACTTGGGAATTCCCTGGTGGGAATGGGCTTTTGGCTGGGTTGGGGGTGGCATGTGGAGGCTAAGAGCAGAGTCCAGCTCTTCCACCAACAGAACTCCCTAGGCAGCCCAGGTCCCTGGCTTATCACCTTACTCCCCTTCCAACGGAAGGCATGGGTTTCTCTGGCCAGCCTGCCTCCCCCGGTGCCAACTGCAATTCACATGGCCAAGAACTCTGGGCTGCAGTGCACCACTCAGTGTGGGCTGGCTCCATGGTGCTCCAACCCTACAGTGTTCACCTCTGTTGGAGCTAGAATGGGGGTTTCTGCCTGGGTCTGTCCTGTTCTCTTGGGCCTTACATTCTACTTTAGAACCTGCCTGAACATTCTGCATCACAAGATCCTCTCAAGCAAGGGTCCAGTGAGGTGTGTTTTTACAAGATTCCCCTACCCAATACTCAGGAGTCAACAAATATTTGTGGCGTGAATGAAAGTTTTCAATTACAAGAAAGAAGAAAACAGCTGAGTGGCACTGAAAGTAAATTAGATTCCCAAGAGCCTGGAGGCCCATAGCATTTGAGAATTTCTGAAAGAATTGATTTCCCTGTCTTTCTCCCAGATTTATTGGTGGAAATAGAAAAGGCTAAATTTAGGGAGGAAATGTGACATTACGTTGCAGGCTGAATATGGAACAAGACCAAGAAAAAGTTGAGCATGAAGGAGAATGTCTGTGAGGTGTGGATAAGCTATCTGTTTACTCTTGTTTTCAGAACAATGCAGCCACCATTGACGTCAATGTAAGTGAAGAAACAAAAGGGCCTTTGGGCGTGTGCAGGGTGCAGCTGGGCCTGGCTCTGCTTGGGGTGTGTGTGTGTGTGTGTGTGTGTGTGTGTGTGTGTTATGGAGTGGGGGCAGGGAGTGTGGCAAGGTGTCAATGTCAGAGAAACAGGACAAACTGACACTGCAGAATGAGCCAACAACAGGCTCCCCAGGGCTTCTGTGGGAAGGATTGCCCAGATGAACTTGGTGTTTGTCTCTGTCTGCATCTGAGGACTTGCATGCCTTTCTTGTCAGGTAGAGGGGAAGTGGCTCACACAGAGGAATTTTGAATGAGGGCTAACCCTCTTTGGACACTACCAGCTGTTTGTCTACAGGATACTGATTCATAACTTTCTCTTTCCTCCCATCCCTGGTCCTCAGGACAGCTTTGGGAAAACTGGGAAGGATGGAGGGAGATGCTACAGAGCCTAGCTTCTTGGACAGTTCCCAGTGCCACTTCACCTCCCCCATAAGACCCTGTGCTTTCAGAGCAGGCAGCTGTTTTGTGCCCTGCATGCAAGTCTGGGGCTTCCACACAGTCCCAGGTGAAGTTCTACTCTCTCATCTGACACCTTGGACATGCTTCCAAACAATGCTCACTGAAAGAACAAACAGTCACATTCAAGGGCTACAGGGGCCAGCGCTGGGGAAGCCCTTCCCCCCTGGCTGGTGTGTCACTGTGGCTCGCACCTTGGGAAAGGCCTCCTTTTCTAAATGCCTACCCTACCCACCCTTAAGTGCTTTCTCCTCCATGGAACCTATGAGGATAGCTCTAGACCTGGTTAACCTGCAAATCCTCAGCACCCCATTTATTATTTGATTACGTTTCCTTTTTACTAAGCGTTCCTTTCTCCTCAATGATGTGCAGGGGCGTATCATTTATTTCTTTTGTATCTCTTTACAGCAGCAATGACCCTATTTCTTGAACCAAAAATTGCAACACATGGTTTCAAAACTAAGAAAGGCTACTTGGAAGCCAACTGTCCCGACCAATCTAGGACGAGTGTCAACCTAAGGCACCGGATGGCCTCAGTGGGTGTGCAGCGGCAGCTCCCACGGGCTGTCCAGTCTCTGTGCCCAGGCAGCTCCAGCGCCTAGCTACGAATGAATGAGAGCGAGAAGATGAATGAATGGGAACGAGTGAATGAAAGGTTCCGCAGAGGGGTTCCCACGGCCCGGGGAAGCGCGCCTCCAGCCCTTCTGGTCGGCGCAGGTGGCAAGGACCCTAGGCCTGAGCTGCGGCCGGGCTGCAACCTGCGCAGGAGCGAGTCCGGCAGCGCTAGCTCCCCTGCCTCGCAGTGGTACGCGCCACTCAGCACTCTGTGAGCCTGCCACCTCCTGGCATCCTGAATGGAAGGCACCGGGCCGGAAGTGGAAGAGACTACTCGGGAAGACGTGGGGGGGGGGGCACGAATGCGCTGGGTCTTCATTGAGGAACCGGAGCGGTGAACATGGAGTTCCATGTGCGTCTTATGTAAAGAGAGCGACAGGCATCCAGACCAATAGGCGCGCAGAGCTCGCAGGTCCGGCCCCTCTGGTATGCAGATAAGGTGGAGCCGTGACCAATGGCTGGAACGAGGGGCGGGCGCAACGCGCGCGGTCACGTTTTCCACTATGTGACAACGGAGATCGACGCGGTGGCGACTGCAGCGCTGCGGGGACTCGCAGCTCCGGGCAGCGGCGGGCGCGGGCCAGGCGGACTGATCGACGGGCCGACCAAGGGATCGAAGCACGCGCGGACGCGGACGCGGACGCGGACGTGGCTGGGCGGTGAGTGGCGCGGCACGCTGGGCGGGTGCGCAGACCCGGCCGGCCGCCCGCTTGCCGCTTACGTAACCTCCGCGGGCTAGAGGGCCTCGGGGGTGGGGAGGTGGGGAGGGGTCCCGGCGCGGGCTGCGAGAGCTCCCAGGGCGGCTTGGCGCCTTGTCAGCCTGAAAACAGCCTGTGGTGGAGTGCGTGCAGGTTATCTTAAGCCTTGCTCAGAATACAAACGAGAAACGATGGCAGTAATGCTTACTGAAACTCTGGGTACTGGCGTCCCCATTTTGCAGACCAAGAAACTGAGGTCCAGAGAGGTTAAGCAGCTTGTCCAAGGGCACGGAGCTATTGAGGGACTGCCACACCAGACTGTCATTCTTTAAGTGATTTTCGTTTATCAGCCCTCCTTTCCTTCTCCCTACCCCCCATGAGATTGCCAGGGAACAGGGTCAGTGCAAGTGTCCCCAGAATATGTTGGGTCCCCTGGGGAAGTGGTCTCCTTCTCTGAGGCCAAAGAGGCAAGTTTGGGCTTAGGGAAGGGCCATAGATAGACCCTGGTCTAGGAACTTTACCTGGATGTCTTGCCCATGGGGTCCCCTGGAGGGGGTGAACAGGAAGACGAGAAAGTCCCTGTACCAGTCCAGGCCTGGGAATCCTGAGAAAGGAAGACCACTTGATGTTCACCCGCTTTTCCTCTCCCCAGATGGACTTGGGGGTTCACTTTGAGGTGGAGCAGTCACATCCTTTTGGGGTGTCCCTTGGCTGCCAAGTACAGACATGGACCAGGAAGTGAGCAGTGTCATGCTTCCCCTCCAGGAGGACCAGGATGAAGGTTGACAACTTGGTTGCCAGGGTTTCTGTAACTTACACAGAAGTTGACAGCTTGGAGAGCTGATTCATACAGCCGCCAGAAGGCTCCCTGGAAACCACCCAGGGTGACCCCTGGGCTTGACAGAAGAAGGTGCAGATGCTGGGTGGTGTCCTCTGTGACACCTCTCACCTCCTGTGGCTGACACAGCAATGCCACTAGCCTGCTTGGCTATAAGGGGAGGTGCCCACCCCCACCTGAGGTTCCTGGTCCCAGGCTGGGTTTGGCTGAGAAGGGAACAGGATTCTACCTGAAGGCTTTAATTGATAATTGAGGTTTTAAATATAGGGCTAGTCACTTTTTGTAAGTTGTATGAGTATAATGAAGCAAGGAACTTCCGTATTTCTTTTAAGTGGTAACTACATGGTCTGCCAATGCAGGAATGACACTGTGGGTGTTTGCAGTTACTTGTCACTGTCATCTCAGCATGATTCATTGGTACAGAACTGGCACAATCCTGGTTTTCTGTGGAGGCTGGAGTGCAGGGCAGGGAGGGGAGCCCTGAGCTAGCCAGCTGGCTGCTGCTAGGTGACCTGGTTGCTCTGGGCCTCCATTTCCTTGTCTGGCTAGCAGGTCTTGAATTAAGCAGTCTCCAAGATCTTCTTAAACTCCAGGGTTTATAGTTCCTGTTACCCTACCAATGATTTTCCCAAGCACCTACTGAGGACATGAGGGGTTTCTGGTGCATTGCTTCCCGGAGGGGTCATGTAATGTAACCCTGTGCTTAGAAGGAAATCTTAAAGGTTCTTGTCGTCTTTACGGCTTCTCTGGCATTCAGAACTTGCTGGAAAATGCTGAGAGGTCCACACGCCTGTTTTTAAATGATGATGTAACTTCCCCAGGGCTCAGCAGACCACAGGCTCCAGCTCTGGACAGTCAGTGAGTGGCCAGGGGGACCTGAGCATGGAGTCAAAGGATAGAGCTGCACCCTAGATGATGCTTTTACCCTTTGAAAATTACCATATTCAGCCAAAGTGATTAAAAACATAACCAGTTAGTTACCAGATTGTGGACACCCCCTGTGCCCCACCCTTGTGGGAAGCCACCCATCTGCAGACTCAGAAGAGAGTAGGGCCTCTGCTGGCCTTCCCTGGAGCCCAGGCGCCTCCCAGGAGAACTGGCCCTCATTTCACGCCTTTATGCTTCTCTTATGCACAGTTGTAAGTTGCTCACTGTATTTCCAAGTCTAGAGCAAATTAGAATCAGCAGGTGAGCAGCAGTGCCTGAGACAGGCCAAAGCCACACGGTTTGTCAGAGGCTGGCAATCCCAGCAGAGCAGACTGTGTAAGAAACCAGAGCTAACATGATAAGACAGCAGGTGAAATCAGAATTTTCTAGGCACATGAGGAGCAAGTACTGAGCTTCTTAGAACCCCCTCGCGTAGAAAAGAGCTCATCCAGAACACAGAGGCCTAGGGGCTGCCATCTTTACATTATTGTCTCAAAATCTTGCACTTCTACATATTTAAGGACTGAAAAGCATGTGGGGGAGTCCTGGTGAGTCTGCAACTGTGCCTCACCCGCAGGCTTCCCTCCCCTCCATATTTGGACAGCCCTGGCCACATTTTCCTTGCTTACCCAACCGTCGCCATGGAGAGATGGCTGTTTATTTAGCAGGACAAACATTTTCTCTGGATTACAGCAGGCAGGCCCCAGGGAGTTGGCTCCTACCAGGAAGTAGAAAACGTTATAATATTTGGGGTTGTAAAATACCACGGGGCTTGCAGACACACAGGAAGGCTGTCTGTTCCCTGTTATGTAAAGTTGGAAAACAGGCAGACTGAGCCAGCCTTGTGAGAAGCAGGGCACATGGGGGTCCTGGGGGTGTGGGCTGGTCACGGGTGTGTTTATTCAGGGACATAGATCAGGCTGTGACTGTAAAGTAAACCTGTTTGTACTAACACCTCAAAAAAAAATGAGCCTCACAAATGATGGCAAGAAGCCCTTCCATCCTGATGGAAGGCTGTAGAGGCCAGAGCTAGGGCCCAGGCTGGGCTCTTGGTCCTTTTTTTTTTTTTTTTTTCTAACTATTGATTAAGGAAAATGCCAAAGTAGAGAAGGCAGTACAGCAAGCCCCAGGGCCCAGCGGCCAAGCTCAGGGCTGCAGCTCTTGGCCCCTCTCCCCACGCCCTCCTACCCCATCACAGACTCCACCACCGTACTTGCTCAGTGAGTGCCTCTATCTGCAGAGGTGACTACAGATGTAGCTGAGTGACCAGGTCAAGGTTCTGAACCTGACTCCTGGCCTAGGTTTCACCATTCCCTGGGGCAGAGCCAGTGGGTGGACATGTGAAGGGATGGCAGGGGCCCCAAGCAGGCTCAGGCCCAGAGACTCCCACTGGCCTTGCAGCATTGTTTCGGCCCAGACTGGCCCCCTCCCCACCCCACTCCTGCAGAGCCAGGTTTCCAGGAGCTCCCAGCTGTTCTCTTGCCTGGCAGTGCAAGAGGCAAAGTCTACTTTGACCAGCAGTCAGTTTTGCCAACTTGGCAAAATGAGGTCGGTCCATTAGAGTAGCTGGTGCTGAGTGACACATTTTCTGGAGTGATGAGGTTTCAGATGATTTGGCTTATTGTGTTGTTTCCCGTGTTCACCAGACCCTCTTTGCAAAAGGGTCTGTCTTCTCTCGAAGGTAATGTTGTGGCAGCAGCGAGTCCCATTCAAGACAGGCTCTCAGGAACTGGAGCTGGGGTGCACACCAGGAGCCCCACATGCTCCATGCAGGGCCCCCAGAGTGCACCAGAGAAGCTCTGAGTTCCCAGTCTCTCACATGCAGGCTGGAGACAGCTCCCTGGCAATGAATACTCTCCCTCTCTCATTCTTTGGTAGCTTTTGTTGCCCCATCTGTTTTCCTGTAGTGCTAATCACGGAAAGCTGGTAATGAAAGCTGGTATTTGTTGGACACTGACTACATTCCAGACACTTTGCACAGGTTGTGTCATTTAATCCTCCCGCTACCAGTAAGAAGCAGGAACTGTTCTTATCCCTTCTCAGAGATGAGGAAACATGGCACAGAGAGGCACCATGTGTGTGAACTTGTCCAAGATCACACAGCCAGGAAGTGGTAGAACCCAACTAAAACCGTGGCTCTCCTGTTCATTTGGCCACTCTGCCACTGCTTCTGGATATCTCCCTTCACGCTCCTTGAATCAGAACTCTCCAAAGCGCTAAGAAAGGCCAGGGTACCGAGCTTGCTTACTCCATTCTTGACTTTAACTGGAGCAACTCCTCGTCAGGCCTTCTGTGTCTCAGACGTTGACACTCAGCTCTCTGCACGTAACAAGCGAGTGTCTTTGCTGCAGATTCCTCCCTTCGCTGTGCCTCTTCCTGTTCCAGCTGTGTGGACAGGAACTTCCAGAACAGGTGTCTTGGACTGGCATGGCTCTTCCTCCTTTTAGGTCACCTGTTTGTCTTGTTTGAATGCTGATAGAGCTTTCTTTGTTCTTGAAATTCAGTGACTTTCATTGGGATGTCACTAGATTTCAAACTCTTTCTGTAATTTCGTGGAGTGTATAGGGACAAGTTCAAATTTGTCTTCAGTTTCACATGTGTCTTTATTATGCTTTCTGCTTCAGTGTTCAGTATTGTTTTAAGAAAGAACTGTTATCTGCTGGTAAAAATGCAGCTTTCCTCCACGTTTTCTCTCAGCTCCTAGCTAATGTTGGTCCTTTCCCTTTGCAGTAGTAAAAACAAAAAACAAAACTTCCTTGGCCAGGCATAGTGGTTCACACCTATAATCCCAGCACTCTGAGACAAGAAGATCAAGAGTTTGAGGCCAGCCCGGGCTACATAGCAAGATACTGACACAGAAACAAATAAACAAAAGAACAAGAAAGGACAAAAGAGGTAGATGGTAGCTTGGGCCAGTGAAGGCAGTGGAGGTGGTGAAAAGCAGCCTCATTCTGGATGCCTTTGAAGGTGGAACTAATAGAATTCCCTCACAGACTTGCTGCTGCGGGACTGGAGAAAGGATGAGTCCCTAGTTGGAGTTCATGCAAATGTAAGAATGGAGCTTCCGTTGGTGTGTATCAGAAATGACACATAGAGGAGCTTTGGATGAAGATTAAAAGCTTGGCTTTCTTTGGACATTCTTCATCCCAGATTTCCACTGACCCGAGACTGGCCAGGTCAGTAGAGACAGACTATTTCCTGAGCACCCATAGGGTCAGAGCCCCCAGCTTGAGATTTCCCTTCTTGTTCCCTGTGCGCAGCTCAGTACAGAGCCAGTCCCTGGCACTCTAGGTTTTCAGAGAATCTGATAACCTTAGGGGCAGTGTATAAATCCATAACTTGGACACAAGCTCTCCCAGTTCCTTATGGCTCGCCCAAAGAGAACCATGAGCAGTAAAAACAGAAGCAAGGAGGAAAGCACACACTGTGGACATGCCTGTACAGTGGCTGCCTATTGGAGGAGGAGAACTGGAATGCAGTGAGAGATGTCAGGATTGAAGGAGGAAGAGAAAACTAAGGCACAGGAAAGAACAACGACCAACAAGCCCTCCCCAAAGACTTTCGCTTTGTCAGTTTTCCCTCTCCCCAACAGCTCCCAACAGTTAGAAGTAACCCTATTTCTTTGTCTTTTACTTACCAGTTTTCCCCACATGCCTCACATCTGCCTACTGAGTTCTCAGCCAAGTACTTGTTTCTATGAGTTGTTCACAACCGAGTGATCCAATTTTTTTAAAAAATGTATTTTCAGTAATCATCAATGCCCACATCCTCATTTTATAGTTCAGACTTTTTTGTGATTTTGAGTATGACACTTAAATATACTCAGAACAGTTGGCATGGTGGTCCAGGCCTTTAATCCCAACATTGGGAAAGCTGAGGCAGGCAGAAGGATCACGAGTTCAAGGCCAGCCTGGCCGACATAGTGAGACCCCCCCTCTCTCAAAACAAACATTCTCATGCGTCTGCCGTCCCTGAAGCATTACTTGTTTCTTTGATTCATCTCCTCTTGACTTTTTCTCATAACGAAAAGTCGGCACTGTCCAGAACACACTTGTTTCATCTCTGCCTTGAGGTAGCATTGCCTATCTTTGCTGGCATCCTTTGAAAGCCCTGTGTTGGCTGTTGACATGACAAGACAAGGTTTCAGCAGCAAGGTACTGGCTTCTTGTGGCTTGTCTCCCTCCCACCCTGCTGGGTGAGGGGTTGTGTTGGGGCTCAGTGATGCAGTCACCATGTAGTCCTTGCTGTATGACCTGTGCAGGCTGGCCTCGGGGATCAGCACCTCTCTAACTCTGGCTCTTTTGGGGGCCTCGGACTGTCCTCGGCATGGCCATGAGAACTGTACTTCCCACAGGTGTTTGTTTTCTGTGGCTCCATCTTGCCCCACAGGTTCCCCCTGCTGTCATCTTCTTGGTGGTCATGTTCCCTGTCAATCCCGGTATAGCCTTGCCTTGCTTTGAGTCTGGCTACACCATAGGTGGCAGGAAGTGTCAGTTGCTTGGTGGCAAATGATTGGTACCCTTCAGGATTTCCTGGCCTACTGAGAACCATCCTCTCTCCATAGTCTTAGAAACCTTGGTCGTTTTCTGGAGGAGGGGGGTGGTAGGAATACAGAAACCCTCTCCCTTCCTTTTGCCCTGAGAAGGGCTGAACACATTCCATGCTAGGGGTGATACCACACTAGGTGCAGAGCAGAGAACCTCCGAGCCCACGTGTGGGGAGGAGGTTCTATCTAAGCCATCCTAGGTACAGGATGTGAGGTCCCACCTTCAATCCAGCTAGTCTGTGTGTCCTTGCGTGGGTTCCCTGCCCCGCCTGGCTCACCATAGCTGGAATCCGGTACATGGTATATCCCTAATGAGGATGATCTGGATGCTGTGTGTCAGCTCTCTACTGGCATCTGCTCTGTTTCCCTGAGCACAAGAAAGCTGTGGGGACATTCTGCCTTCTATGTCCCCCTTCACAAAGGCACTGCTGCTGCCTGGCTTCCAAGTAAGAGTGGGAAGGTCCTTTGTTTTCTGGCTGTCCCAAGAGTTACCAGAGTGGAGGTGGGAGGAGCAAGAAGCTGGGTGTTTATTCCTCAGGCCTCAGTGGTCTGGATGCCCGTTTCTCCTTCCTCTTCCCTCCAGGCTGGGTGATCACATCCTCACCCCACAGCCTCTGGCCCCTAAGGCCTCATGGCTTTTGTTGTTTCCTTAAGCCTGATCCATCTGTGGGCAAGCCTTCCTCAGGCCCTCCCTAGTGCCCGGCTTGCATGGTCATCTGCTTCCTGCCAGGGTCCTACTAGAAGCACCATCATGGATCCTCCACTTTTCACTCAATGACATCTAACAGCCTCCTGTCCTTGGGCATGTGGCCTCCTGCTCACTGATCAGCCCTTTCTTCTACTTGTGTGCTGTTTCTGCTCAGCCCTCCAGGATCACTTGTGGAAGCCCTTTGCTGGTCCATCTACCTATTCCTAAAGCACCAAGAGTCAAGTTTCTATCTAGCATACCCATGGGGACCTGCACAGATATAAACCGAGTCCTGTGACTGGTGCTCAGGTGCCTCTGTGATTCATAATGTCCTGGTTACACATGAGACTCCCTCCCCACTTGCACTGCCCTACTCAGCACTGGAATTACCTGCAGTACCCAGCACACCCAGCTGCTGCAGGGTGCCACACCTGCCAGCCCAGACCTCGGGCCTCATGGAGCCTCTTTGACTGATAGCCTCACCTCTCCAAAGGCTCTCAACTCAGCTTCTCTAACTCACATGGTGTATGATCACTGACCCTGCTGTTCCACATCACCTGGGCAGGCCCTGCCTCCCACTCTGCCAAAGCTCCCCCAGGGCTGGGAGTGGGAGCTGCTGACTTGCTGATGAGGTATCAGCACCTCCATGTCAAGGCCAAGGCTGCCAGTTCAGCTGTCTTCCTGATCCATGGCAGGTAGGGGCTCAGGAATTGGGAGGCACGTGAGTGACCCCATGAAGTAACAGACATATCATCGATCCCAGCCTCTGTGTTTGCGTCAGTGGAATGTGTAGAAAGATTCACAGGAGCTGCTCTCCTCAGTGGCGCCTGTGGTCACCCTCGCTTACTCTTTCTGATGCTTGACCACAGTCCTCTGGCTTCCCAGCTTCATTCCAGAGCCCGACATGAATGGCTATGCAGACTTTCCTCCCAGCCCCAGCAGCCCCACCAAGGAGCCTGAAGAGCCCCAGCCTAATCGGGCTGCGCTCCAGGAAGATGTGGACATGAGCAGCGGCTCAAGTGGAAATGAAACCAGTGGAAACCGCTCCACAGGGCAGGGCTCACAGAGCAGCGACTGCGAGGACAGCGGGAAGGAGCTGGGGATGCTGGTGGAGCCACTCAACACCCATCAGAGGTAGGTTCAGCCTTGGGCCAGGCGAGGGCCACACAGGTGGCTTTCTCAATACCCTCTTTCCAAGTAACCAGATTGCTTTTGTATCTTTAAACCATGATTACCAAGATTTTCAAGACTTTGGAAAATCTTATTAGAGTAATTGAAGTGCACTGGACCATCCTTCCTTCTAATGATGCCACTGTCATCATTCTGTTCCTCACTCAGTGCAGTGAGACCCTGGGAGGCAGAGGGACCGGGTAACCCACTGGCAGCTGCTCACATGGACAGGAACATGGAATGAGAACTTGCCCCTTTTGTTTTGTGTTTCCGTCTCCCAATACTTGATTGTCCTAATGGCTGAAGGTTTTATATTTCAGTTTCATCCTACCCAGGTCCTCAGACATGCTAGGCAAGCACTCTTAACACTGAGCTGCACCCCAGCCCAGCCTCAATTTTCTCTCTGTCTCTCTTCCTCTCTTTCTTTCTTCCTCTCTTTCTCTCTCTTTCTTTCTTCTGGCTGTACTAGAGTTTGAACTCAGGGTCAGGGCCTCCTACTGCTTGCTTGGCAGACTCTCTACCACTTGAGTGAGCCAAACCCCCAACCCTTTGTATTTATTTGGGGTTTTTTTCCTTTAGATATTTTCAGATAGGGTCTCCCATTTTTGCCTGGGGCTAGCCTTGGACTCCAATCCTCCATCCTATGCCTCCCACCTAACTGGGACCATAGGTTCATGCCACCATACCTGGCTTGTTGGTTGAGTTGGGATCTCACTAACTTTTTGTCTGGGCTGTCTCCTCAGTAGCTGGGATAACAGCCATGAGGCCTGGTGCAGGGCCTTGCACTATGTGAGCCTCTTACTATGTTGTTCTTAGCCTATTCTCACTGGCGATAAGAGGGAAGGTGTGGATGGAGCACACAGATATCTGAGTTTTGTTTTTATCTCTCTTCTCACAGTCCTGATACCTTCACACTGATGATGGCAGAGCCTGAACACAACCCATCTACGAGTGGTTGCAGGTAAGGCACACCAGAACTCCTTCTTCAGACTCCCAGTGAGTTAAGACTTGTTGTTGGAGGTCAGGTTGGGAATGGTGTGACTTTTGTCAAGCTCTGCTCAAACTGCTGGTCTGCACAGCCAGGTCACTGTGACCATGGCATGCTGCCTTCCACACACCTGCTGTCTCTGTTGCTTCTCCGGCCCCACAGCTCTTCCTGGCTCTCTCCAGGCCAGCCTTGCCCGAGCACTGGGCATGGTCATCTGAATGGCCCTCCCCTCATGGATTTGTAGCAAATTACCCTTATGTCTACAACATCTTAGTGTCGCTGCTGAAGCAAGACCCACCCTCGGTCTCAGGTGTGTGTGCATTTGGCCCTCACTGCAGGGGCTTAATTGCCGTCCTTCTGTCTGCACCCTGTGCTCTACACAGGTCCAGCTACACCAGCGACTCCCCACTGTTCTTCCTCTGGTCTTCTTATATTTGGAAACCCTTCTCAAAAATCCCCTTTTCTCTCTTCTGCACTCATGGCCTATGCTCACATTCCCAGAGCCATTTTGCTGTCCTCTGTAATCTCCACCAAGCAGTCCTTTTCTCTCTTCATGGGGCAGGGAAGGAGGGCACAGGTCAGTGACACAGTCTGCTCCACCACTCTGTGGGTTGACCCACAGCTCTTCCTGGGGAAGGCCCAGCTCTGACCCTTGGGGAAGGTCCCACTGGAATGCTGGCTTCTCCAGCAGCATTCTTGAGGTGAGAGCAGGGATTCTCACCAGGCAAGCTGTCTTCCAGCAAGAGAGGTTTGGCCATGTCTGCAGACCTTGTTGGTGACCACAACTGGCAAGGGTGCTGCTGGCCTATAGTGGGTGAGGCCGGGGATGTCAGTAGACATCCTGCAGAGCCCCGCAAAGAACTACCCAGAGGAGGACACCCATGAAGCTAACGTTTGATTGCCTCTTTTTAAATTCCACAGCAGTGAGCAATCTGCCAAAGCAGATGCACACAAAGAACTGATAAGAACGCTGAGGGAGCTGAAGGTCCACCTCCCTGCAGACAAGAAGGCCAAGGGCAAGGCCAGCACACTGGCCACCTTGAAGTATGCACTAAGGAGTGTAAAGCAGGTAAAAGGTATGTCTGCCTCAGTTGTCTTCTCAAACCTTACTTCTGTAGAAATAAGCTTTAAATTCCCCAAACTACAGCTTATATTGTATGGACTTTCAAAAACTCATTCCTGAACGAGCAGGAGGAAATAATAAAAATCTGATGATACCAGGCACAGTGGCTCACATCTATAATTCCAACTACTTGGGAGGATTGAGGTTTGAGGGTAGTGGGCAAAAAGTTGGTGAGATCTCATCTCAATGAAAAAGCCGGGCATGCTGGCACACGTCTGTGATCTCAGCTATGTGCAAAGCTTAAGTAGTGGGTAGGCCCGGGCAAAACCACAAAACCCTATCTGAAAAATATCTGAAACACAAAGGGTTGGGGATGTGACTCAAGCAGTAGAGCACCTACCTAGAAAGTGTGAGGTCCTGAGTTCACACCCTAGTACCACAGAAAAATCTGATGAACCTGTAGTTGATTGGAAACCTTAGAATTCTCCTATTGCACTGGACTTTTAGAGGAAAAAAAGACAGAAAACCAGGAGATAAAAGAAATGTATGTGCTACATAAACCTTTTGTGCTCTGGGCTGACTCAGGTCATGTTCTAAGGGGTCCACCATCTATAAGGCTGTCAGGAGAGGCGGTGTTTGGGACAGTGACCCTGAGTCCAGGACGATCGTCACACATTGCTCATGAGCTGCAGCAGGGCAGAATAGAATTACAGCATTGCATCCCTCAGAGTGCAGGGTGTGGTGCCACATGCCTGTAATTCCAGCTACTTGGGAGATGGAGGCAGGATGACCTCCAGTTCAAGGCCAGTTTAGGCAAAGTTAGTGAGGTTCAATCCCGAAAACAAAAACAAAAGGGCTGGGGCTGGGAATGGAATCAGGAGGTCCTGGGTTCAATCCCCAATACTGCCAAAAAAAAAAAAAGAAAAAAAAATCCCCCAGTATTTAGCTGAGAACTTGTCCACTTTTAACATACAGTGAGAAGAGATGCAAGAAGTGGGGTGTGATCAGATCTTAGAGCTTTTCAGTTCATGAGCTCAGGTGGATCACATCTTGTTTATCTAAAAATGTTTACCTAAAAAACATTTTCTGCCCTGGTGGCCATTTCGGCCAGGAAGGAAGTAGCAGGCAGAGCGCCACTGTCCATCACGTGCAGTTCTGGGGCCTCCAAAATGGAGATCCTTCTCCAATCTGTGTTTGGACTTTAGATCAGAAGGCCGGATATAAAAGAGCTTTTAGGGCTGACCAGTGAGGAGTAAGACTGGTGTTTTCATTTGAGAGCACATGCACAACTCTTTAAAGGTAGTGCAGGATCCAAACAAACATTGCAAATCCTAAAGGCCTATCCTTGAGCCCAGTGAACTCCAGGCCCCTAAGTACCTCAGCAGAGTTTGAACCTCCTCCAGCTGCTCCTGCACAGTGCTGTTACCAGCAGCTTCCCAGACTCCCGAGTACCTGGCTGCAGAACAGGCAGGAAACACTGTGCCATGAAAGAGCGTCCCAAGCTGACAGCTGACAGCCTGTCCCTGGAGTTCATTCCTGAGCTCCCTGCTGGGCCATCTCAGGACAGCCTAGCCACAGGCGTTGGTCAGAAAGACCTGTAAGCTGAGTACCGGGATGTGAGCCTCAAGGGTGCTCGGTATACTCCCATGTTTCAGAGGACATAGCAGGAATGGGAGAGGAAGTATCCATGTGTGCACCCCTGAACTCCCAGCACTGTGCACTTGGCACCTACCTGTTCTTCCTGGTTCTGGCTGTGGAGGAATTCCCTAGCAGTGTGGTACCTGCAATGAGCAGGCAGAGGCTGGCATCTCACTGGGGCAGGGAAGGGAGGTGCTCTCTAGGGCAGGTGGTGTGGCCCCCACTGGTGCCTGGGTTAGCACCACTCACCCTGCTCTGCAGACAGGTTCCTTTGCTCACTGCCACACGCATTTACTGAGGGGTGGTAAATTCCGCATGTTAAAACCACTCATCAAAACAGAAAGAGCCAGAAGGCTGTGATGCATTCAAAGCAGTGGCTCCATTCTCTTAACATCTGTGGCTGCCTGCGGTGGCACACAGTAGGCAAGGCTTGTCTCCAGTAGGTGTGGGGACGAGCCCGCACTACAGTTTTCATGTTTTTAAGTGCTCGGACAGTTTTCACTGGCATGAGGAGGTTTCTAGTGCCAGTCTCTAGGGTCCCTGGCGTCAGGAGCCAAGGAGAGGGGTCACTGCAGCATGCTGGCTCATGCCCAGCATCAGAGACATTTAGGCGTCTCTGCAGGCCCCTCCCTAAGCCATCCGTTTTGTGAGGCTGATGTGGTCAAAGCAGAGTGCTGGTCATTGCTGGTCAGGCCAAAGAACTATGTGGAAACCCAGTGCCCCGAGGGCCTGACCAAAGGCATGACTCTGGGGTCTGTGCCTGGGGTAGGCTCCCTCTCTGGGAGGAGCGACTAGAGGGAAGTCCATCTGGCGAGGCTGTATGTCTGCTCTCAAGGGACCTTGTCAGTTAAGGTGCTCCGTGCTTGACGTCTGCAGTAACTTCAGAACTTGGGAGCGCTACCAAACCGAGACGTTTCGTAGACTTTCCAGCAGTTTATGGCTTGATCTGAGAGCATGCTCAGAAGTCTACCAGTTTCTGAAGGTGGAGAAACCAAAATCAGATAAGTTGTAATCATGGGTCCAAAGTTCTCATCACCACACTGCAGGAAACACACTCTTGCAAGATCCTGGTTCCAACTCTGGAACGCAGCCCAGAGTTCTGTCCAGCAGGGCCTGTGGACTCTGGGGGCAGAAACTTGCTCTTTTGTTCCCATCTGGAGTGGGGGCTGCTGTGCTCATGAGCAGTGCCACCCAAAGACAAACTCAGTCTCCCCCAAAACCCTACCAGATAAGCCCTACCAGGTCAGTGGCCCAGGTCTGCAGAGTCTGCTTGCAACACCTCTTTTCAAATGTTCCTTCTGGTCCTGCTGCTCTTTCTTTTTTCTTCTTTTTGTACTGCTGGGGATTGAACTCATGCCTTACACTTGCTATGCAAGTGCTGTAGCACTTGAGCTATGCCCCAAGCCCCCTGCTTTTGTAAGCAGTGGATTCTGCCTGGTGAAAGCATCTGATGGAGCCACCCAGGGGGGTGCTGCTGCAGCCCTGTGTAGAATCCTCGATGTTGCATCAAAATTCTAGACCCTTCTAGAGGTAGAACCCTGCACACCTATTACTTAAAATAATCTATTTGTCATTTGCTAAATTCTGTAACTGAAGGCCTGATGTTTGAGGAACAGCGCCAGCTGTCTGCCTGTTGGCATGTTTTGTCACCTGTTTCCACGTGTTCTCTTTGTATCCAGGAAGACACTGTTTTGGTCCCATTTGTTAATTCGAGAGAGTCAGAGCCCCTTCCTGCGGGGTCAGTGACAGCAGTCATCCCCTGAGTTTGCCTGCTGAGTGTGAATGTTATTCCTCCCACAGCTAATGAAGAATATTACCAGCTGCTGATGTCCAGTGAGCTCCAGCCCTGTGGTGTGGACGTGCCCTCCTACACTGTGGAGCAGGTCGAGGGCATTACCTCCGAGTACATCATGAAGAACGCAGTGAGTGTCTCGAAATGACCAGAGTTCTCCCCGGGGTGACCCAGCCAATCCACTGCAGATGGTGTCAGAACCTTGGTGTGTTGGGAAATGAACCCAGTCCTCTGAAAACAAGAGGTGGAGCCAGTCACTCCAGAGCAAAGTCGCGTTCCAGATGAGTGGAGATTATCGTCCTGTCCCTGGCCCACTCAGCCCCATAGATCCTGCATGTTACACGTGCCCAGCTGCACATGGTGGAGGCTCCAGGTTATTACGTACTCAGGTTGAGAAGACAAACCTGGTGACTATCCACTTGTCCAGGCTTCATGGTTATGATGGGACTGGGACTAGACTCCAAAGCCCATGTGTTTCTAAGTGTCCAATAGAGGTGGGCCTGGAGGTCTGGGAGAGCGGAAGGACCCGTTGTCCCCATCCCTGAGTTCTCAGTCAGTGAGAACAGATATGATGGCCTGTGGGGTCCAACGTGTGCTGCAAGCAGGGTGAAGCTGGCCTCAGCGCAAGTTCCCTGACCCTTCACCTCTCCCTTCTCCAGCCCAAACCCCCAGGCAGTCCCCAGAGCCTTGAGAGAGAAAAGAGCTGGCAGAGTTTGCTGTGACAGCCAGGCGAGCAGAGAAGGGCTGCCGTGGGGTGTTGTTTCAGATAGCATCATTTTGGACCTCAACGTTTGGAAGAGGAAAGTCAAGCTGTGCTGGTCAGGGCTGAGGCGAGGGCCCAGTGACCCCACCTGGCCTTCCCAGTGAACTGCTCCCTCCACTCTGCCCACCCAGCTTGCCCCGCTATCCCATCCCGTCTGACTGTGCTCACCTGGCCCTTTCTTCTTTTCCAGGATGTGTTTGCTGTGGCTGTGTCCCTGGTTAATGGGAAAATCCTGTACATCTCTAACCAAGTTGCCTCCATATTTCACTGTAAGAGAGATGCCTTCAGTGATGCCAAGTTTGTGGAGTTTCTGGCCCCTCATGACGTCAGTACATTCCACAGCTCCACCACTCCTTACAAGCTTCCATCCTGGGGCATGTGCGGTGGAGTAGGTGAGGTCCTCAAGGTCTTTGTGGTAGAGGGGAGGGGAGGGCTAGTGACAGGCAAGGGGTCAGGAACTAGCTCCCAACCTCACCTGTGCTGGAGATAGCAGCCTGCAGAGCCCACCTGAATGGCTGCTAGCCACCACTTTGTCAAAGGTAAAAGATAAACAGTTCTTCATCTCATCAGAGTAAATTTAGCCTTTTTGTAAATTTCAGACAGATTTCAAAGCCTGTTAGGTGTTTTAGCAGTAGAGTTGTTCTATGGAATGAGAGTCGGTTGTGATGTGACTGCAGAGTGTGGGACAGTGGGTGCCTCTGTAAGGCAGTAGGGAGGTTGAGCAAGGTACCACCCCTGCAGGTAGCTGTCCCCTCATGACCTCAGCAGCCATAGAGGACAGAGGCAACACGTTCCGGAGTCACTTCTCAGGGCTCTTCACCTTGGCAAAGGCAGCTTCCTCAGTACAGGCTGTGAAGCCCTCTAGACCCAAACCACTGGCTTTCCAAACACTGCAGGCCAAGTCTGTCTGCCCAGTGTCTTCCGTGGCAGCCTGGCCTGCAAGTGTGTCCAATGTCTGTTCTGCCTTGTGTCCAGGCTTCTCATCTCCACCCTGTCCTGGCATCCAGGCTGATGTCTTCCACCCCCGAGCAAGCTTTGGGCTTGGCTGCGTTGTAGCCTGTGCCCATGCCTGCTGCTGACACCGCCAGCTCTCCTCGAGCCCTCCTCGGCCCCCTCCCCTCTGCTTTCTCACTCGCTATGGTAGGAATATTTGTCCCCTTCTGAAACTCACCTTGGAATTTGCTATCGTTGGCTGCAATGAGGTCATTAATAAGGACACATGCCTTTCCTATGGCAGTGAGCTCCAGCCTTGTCAGGACTGGATTAGAACTGCAGGAGAATGTCAGTAGAAAGCAAGGCTGCCTCTCGTGTTCAGTCTCTTCTGCATGTGCTCTCTTGGCCTTCCTACTTCCCACTGTGAGTTGAAATAGTACATGGCTCTCATGAGCAGTTAAGCAGATGCTGGTACCATGATCTTGGACTTCCCAATCTCCAGAACCATGAGCTGAATAAAATTCTATTCCTAATGAACCACCCAGTCTCCTACAGCTCATTATAACAACAGAAAACAGACTAAGGCCAGGCATGGTGGTTCACATCTATAATCCCAGCACTGGAGAGACTGAGACAGGAGGATCAAGAGTTTGAAGCCACCCTGGGCTACATGGTGAGATACTATCTGAAAAAAGCAAATCATAAGCAAAAACAAATAAAAGAAAACAAAGTAAGACAGAAAATTGGTTCCAAGAAGTGAGTGTTGCTATAACAGTTCCTGAAAATGTGGAAGTAGCTTTGGAACCAAGCAGTGGGGCCAGCTTTTGAGGGGAAGCTGGAATGCTGAGAGTGGTCTGGGCAGCCTCAGGAGAACACAAGAAGATCAGGGAGCGTTTGGGGCTCTCGGCATGGCCTACATAGTCCTGATCACACAGAAACATGGATGGCAAAAGCCATTCTGAGGCCTCCGTGCAAATGAGAAATTTGTCTTGCTGAGTGGTACAGCAAAGGCCATCCTTACTGTGAAGTGGCAGAGAACTGGTCAGGATTCTGGTCATGCTAGGGCTTATAAGGCCACACTTAAGAGTGAGAACCAGGATAGCTGGTAGAAGAAATATCTAAGCAGCAAAGCTTAGAGCTTCGTGGCTGCTTTTACTGTGCACAGTGAGATCAGAGAATGGAGGCAGCAGTCATCGCTAAGCAGGCGCAGAGCAGGGACATTTGCATCTGGCGCGGAGAGTGAAAAAGTGCACGGGAGCTGCAACCAAAGACACCGCTAACAAAATTCTGTGGCTAGGAGGGAGCCAGGTGCTGTTCTTCGGCACGGGGACAGGCCCCAAAGCTGCCCTTCTCAACACAGGCTCAGAATGTTGGGACACAGGCAGTGCTTTCACAGCTTCAGCCATGGGTCCAGCAGCCACACGTGTGCACCCTGCCACTCCAGGGGGTGTCCATGGGGACATGACTTGGCACTGTCTCCATGCTGCTAATTCTGCAGATGTGCAAAGTGCAAGAGCAATAGAGGCATGACTTCCTTCACCTGGATTTCAAAGGCTGTCTCAGAAAGCCCTGGCCTCAAGCAGAAACCCTCCACAGTGGCAGAGCCACCTCAGAGCGTGAAGATAGTGCCTAGTGGCGCCATCAGAGAGGCTGCCATCCTGGGGAACCCTGAAGGGTAGAGCCACCAGCAGCATGCCATACCTCCTGAGAAGGCCTCAGGAGCAGAGTGCCACTCTAATCCCCTGAAGCTGGCTGCAGCCCCAGTATGTCTGGGAGGTGGCATCTGCAGTAGGAGGTGACCCTCGGGCTTCAGGACACAGTGTCTGCCCTCTGGGGTTGCTAGCCTGCTTGGGCCATCTTGCCTTTCTTCTGCCCCTCTTCTCTTTGGACCAGCCCGTCCTGCCATTGTATTATGGAAGCAGATGCTTATTTTGACCTCAAAGGCTCTCAGCTGCATCTTGAACTTTTGAGTTAGTGTTGGGAAAAGTTAGGACTGGGGTCTGTGGGATGGAATGATGCTATTTTGCATTTTGAGAGCGGCAGGCATTTTGGCAGACAGGAGAGGTATGTGATGGTTTGAATATGGTTTGTCCCTCTGAAGCACTGCTATGGTGGTATCAGGAGGTGGGCCTGGAAGAGTGGTTATGGTGTTGAGAGGGGCGGTGCCTCTGTCAAGGGAGGGAGTTCTTGCTCTGGTGGGGCTGATTGATTGTTGAGAGCAGGTGGTTATAAAGTGAGACTACCTCATGTTCTGTCTTCAACATGGCTCCCTTGCTCTTCCTTGAAGTAGCACATCACGAAATCCCTCACTGGACACTGGCTTTGTGCCCTTGGGCTTCCAGCTCTAGAACTGTGAGTCAAAAATACAAATAAACGATTCTTTAGAAATCCCCCGTCTCAGGTGTTTTGTTAAGCAACAGAAAATGGGCACTGGTGGCTCACACCTATAATCCTAGCTACTCAGGAGGCAGAGATCAGGATTACAGTTCAAAGCCAGCCCCGGCAAATAGTTCCTGAGATCCTATCTCAAAAATACTGAATACAAAAAATAGCTGGTGAGTGGCTTAAGTGGTAGAGTGCCTGCCTAACAAGTGTGAGGCCCTGATTTCGAACCCCAGTACCAGAAAAAGAGAGACAAAAAGAAAAGTCAGAAAACAAACAAGAAAGAAAAGGAAAGAAAAGAAAAGAAAACAGACTGACAAGCCATCTAAGTCATGAAGTAACTAAGACCAGTCTCATCTGTGTGCTGACTGTCCCTGGTCAGCGCGCCTCTCCTGCCTTCCTGGCTGCATGGTTCTTGCTGTTAAACTTTGTGTGTCTTTGTCCTACTTCTGCAGCTTGGTTGGGAAGACTGAATGTGGAAGGTCCATGAGCCTTTCACTTAACAGCAGGGCCGTTGCACAGAGGAGATGCGAAAGAGGGGCTGGGGGTCCCTGATGGAATACTTGAGACAGGCAAGGCCCTGCCACCTCAGTCTTCCCTGCCACTCTGCTTGTTCATTGGCCAGGCAGCCATCCACAGTTCCCTTTTAAAGCCTGCATCCCTCCTCAGTGTCTGCCTGCCTGTACCTGATCCTCGTGGGCTCTGACCAGGAGGTCCTGAGGAGCCAAAAGAGATGAAAAGGAAGTGGACGGGAGAAGATCAGAATCTTGACCAAGAATCAGCACAGGCTTGTCACCTGAACCACCCATAGTTTTGGCCATGGTTAGCAGGGAGGTCTGAAATCTTCTTACTCAAAGGCTTCTCGGGCCTGTCACCACCGTGGATTGGGGGCTCTCACAGATCTGAGGACCCCACTGTCTGCTACTCCCCACTTCCTTTTCCCATCCAGTTATCAACGAGGATAAACACTGCCTTCACAACCGCACCAACTCAGCAGCTGCATCCTCCAGCAGGCATCCTGGGGCAGGTGCGCTGTTTGGGGATTGCCTCAGAAAGAGAAGACACTTGCTTTTGGCTCCATATGTAGTGCTGTCTACTTTTCCCCAAATCCAACCTGAGGTCAGGTCAGATCACTGAAGTTTGCAGTGTGAATTACAAGGCCCTGGTTAGGGCTGGCTACTCCTGTACAGCATGAGGACCTGGTCAGGGTGGCTGCTGCTGCACGGGAGGGCAGTGCTCTGCATGTGGATTTCCAGCATGAGCAGCAGGCACTGCTGCCCCCACTCTGTCCCCAGGATGGTGACAGCTGACTTACGATCTGAATAAAAAAGAAAATTGGGTGACTTCCCAGAGACTTTTCCAGGCTAGTAACTTTGTATCATTTTCCATAACCAGTAATTGTCTGTTTTCTTTCAAATGGGGGAAACTTTAAGTAAAAGATTAAAGTCTACATTTTCCTTTTGTAATTCCTTAAAATCATTACAGAAATACCCGGGCCCTCATTTCTGATGATATAGTTGATCTCATGATTTTACTAGACATTTAAAATTTTGAAGTTTAATATTTTACAAAGTATTAATGGTAAGCATTGTTAGAACTGAATATCCCAGGAATATGTAGCTTGAAATGTTTAGGGGTTTATACATAGATACTCTGCACACAGTCAGAATACCTTTCAGAGTTTAACTGTTCATTGGTGGGTTGGTAGCAGCATATGTACCATTCCAAGAATTGGGGGCTATAAAATTTTAGCCCTGCATAATTTGGTATATGACACACTTTTGAGATACATTAAATACTAGAAATATACAATAAAATATTTCTAACCTAAAGGACTCACTTGTGCTTGGGTGAGTCATCAGTTTACACCTCTAGTCTATTTTGTGGCTTCTCTTTAATCTATGAAAAACAAAGTGCTATCTGTTTAGTTGTTTGGTGAATGACTTCATGCTTTTTCTTTTAGATTCTTTTACTCAGGAGTGCATGGAGGAGAAATCTTTCTTTTGCCGAGTCAGGTAAGCCCAATTCCAAGTTTTCCTAACTTACAAAACTGCAAACATTCCCCCTCAGCTCCTGGGACAGGATTGGGAGGTGCCCCATGGTGCACACCCCCCACCACATAGGGCAGGGTTCTGCCTGCAGACCCAGCAGGTGCACTTCTGAAAAGCCTGTGTGAAAACAGATGTACATTACATGCACAAGGGGCTAAGAGGGCATGACCAGCAGTAGAGTGTTAACTGTCACCCAAAAGAACCCCACTTGCCATTGGTTGTCCTGGAAGACGTTCCGTGGGACCCACGGGGACCCTGGATGCACATGAAGCCTTTGGTTTGCTTGTGCATTTTTGTGTTAGATCACAGTTTTCTTATCAGGTTCTTGGTCCAGAACAGAATGAGCACTTGAGCATCCAGAGTGATGTCAAGAGTGGACCTGGGCCCAAAATCCCTCTGAAGGAGCAGACACTTTGCTCTGCTTTGCCCTGATCTAAACACAGATTGCTCAAGGCAGGGATGGAAGACCTCCCACCGGCCAGGGTGTAGACTCTGACCATTGACTTTCAATGTGAGGATCCATCAGCAGGGGCACAAGGGTGGGTGTGGGCCAGCTCTTCCAGTGGGCACAGGTACCTGCTACCTCCAGCATGGCCTGGTCCCCATGAGAGGAACTGATGTGGCAGCGTGTCTCAGCAATCTGGGCATCTGGTACAATCTGGGCCTAACAGGCATCTGGGGGAGGGTCTGACTAGCAGGCAAAGGACTGATCCTTGCTCACAGCTCCAAGTCCTGATATCACTCCTCTCCACAGCGTCGGGAAGCACCATGAGAACGAGGTTCGCTACCAGCCATTCCGCATGACACCCTACCTGGTCAAGGTGCAGGAGAGGCAGGGAGCTGAGAGCCAGCTCTGCTGCCTGCTGCTGGCAGAGAGGGTGCACTCAGGCTATGAAGGTAGGGCCACACCAAGACTTGGAAGCACCTGTGTCAGGTGCCCTCTTAAGGCCCCTCAGTCACATCCAGGGTCTAAATATTATGTCTTTAAAATTGTCTCCCAGTTGTTCATCTGCCTTAGCCTCTCCCCCAACCCTGGGTAGTCTCCATCTTCCCTGAGACTCAGCACAGCACCCCATCTGTCATCTGGCCCTCCCCACAACAGCTGAAAGCATCTGGACACTGGTACCTTTCGCTCACATGCAGTCCACTGCCATGTCCCCTTCCCCTAGCTGCTCTGCCCCTGTCAGGTCTGGGACCCCATGTCCTTCACATCCTTGATCCCTCCCTTGTCTCGGTCTAATGACACCTCAATCTACTCCAGAATCCCAAATAATCCCTCAGCCATCAAGAAACCCACAGCTGGACATCCCTCCATCCTGCCTTGGCCTACTCTGACTTCCACCTGAAATTCCCTTCCTCCTAACCTGTTGTGGCTTTTGCAGGCGAGTGAGCTCCCATGCTGGGCCTGTTGGCTCCATCCATCCTTGCCTCCCAGCCCTTGCCTGCCCTTCCCTCCACCTGTCCCTCCCCACAGCTCAGCCCATGGTGATCCCAAGATCCAAATGTCTTGCTGCTATCCCACTAGTTACAGCTCCTTAGGCTATGCCACCCCCAAACAATCCAGGTTCTTCCTTCAAAGGCCAAAGGACCCAAGGGTGTGTGCCACCCTGCTCTCATCCTTATTTTTTTGTTTTGTATTTTATGACAGTACTAAGATTTGAACTCAGGGCTTCTTGCTTGCTAGACAAGTGTTCTAGTGCAAGAGCCATGTCTCCAGTCCATTGTAAGTCCTCTAACTGCTTTGTAAGCCATGATCCTTGGCTCCTCTGCCGTACCTGGCCAGGAACCATGGGTTCTCTGTGGCAACTCATAAGTCCTGGCTTTTAGACTCCCCAAGAGCTGATGCCCTCTTTGAGGACTGAGCCATAGGAGCCCAGGTTAGCCTGGGTTTCACTGGACTTGTGATCTCCTCTCAGTGATTAATGATGACTTTTTACAAAGCACTTGTAAAAGTGAGAGAAATGTGTTTTAAGGATGTGATGTTCTTAAACTTGCTTGGCGAATCCTTGCATATAGAACATTGTCTTCCACGTATTCAACTAGGATTTAGTGGGTACTTAGATCATTTTCCAATTATCAGAGTCTTCTTGAAGAACAAAAGATTGGGGGCTGGGGCTGGAGGCGAGGCTCAGGTTGTAGAGCTCCTGCCTAGCAAGTGCAAGGTGAGTTTAACCCTAGTACAGAAAAAAAAAAAAAGATTTTGAAATGTGGTAGTTGAGAAAAATTTTGGATACATAACTTCCTTTATGGAAATTACTCCAATGTCTTTGCCCATCTTAGAAACTATATAAAGTTCTTCTGTATGTTATTTGCTGAAGAGTTTAAATATGTAACTCATTTTTCTAAAAATAAATTTGTTCAGATCACTGTGGTTTCACGTTTAAAACCATAAAGATGGCCTTCCAGCATGAGTTTGCTGTGAGAAGCCTGGGCATGGCTCACGTGGCTCTGCTAACAAGGCAATTCCTGGTTTACTAGACTAAAACACCCACAGAGAAGTTGGAGAGGCTCACTGGTGGTCACCCGGCTTGAGTCTGGTGTGCTCACGGTGCAGAGGCTCTGTGTCTGGAGACCACATGCCATGTTTTGATTTCCCATCAGCTGCTCATCCCTCTGGGCCTACACAGTACTTTCTGTTAGTGTGATGTTGTACATTAAGTATGTGTTGCTTAGAATTGGCATTTGTACAAAATGTTGTTCTTTTAGCCCCTAGAATTCCTCCTGAGAAGAGAATTTTTACAACTACACATACACCGAATTGCTTGTTCCAGGGTGTGGATGAAAGGTAAGTGGTCACGCCATCCCCTCTGTCCGCACACCTCACTCTTATTGCTTGCCCGAATAAAGGTGCACTTTCACACCCTCCCTTCCACTGTCCCCTCTGCCTGCACACCCCACTGCCATTGCCTCGATCCATGTTGCATTCTCCACATCATCTCATCCCCAGAGGATATTCAGTGTTTCATCATCATGTCAGTAGTTACTTAGTAACAACTAAATAAATCTCAATGAACTTTATTGGTTTTGACATTAAAGCTATTTAGCTGAAGCCAGGCCTGCATGCTGGTCTTACTTACAGTTGCGTGTGGCACAGTGATGTTGTGGTCTGTGGCAGACCCCATAGGATCATAACAGAGTGGACAAATTCCTGTCGCCTAGCAGCATCCTAGCTATTGCGGTGTTGCAGCACAACTCATTAGTTGTGTAGTGTGGACACCTGCTGTCCACATTACAGCACATAGCACTTGATAATGATGGTAAACAGCCTTGTCGCTGGTGTGTATTTACTGCTGTACTCTTATTCTCTGGAGTACACACCTAGTCATTACTGTGGCTTTGTGCTGTGTCACTGCAGAGCAGATGCACACCTTCCGTGTTTAGTGTGTGCCTTAACTGCATCTAGCAGCCATGCTAGCAATTGACCTAGTCCATCTAGATTGTGTAAGTTTGCCTTACAATGTTTGCACAACAAATTATCTAATGATGGATTTCTCAGACTGTGTCCCCATGGTTAAGTGACATGTCACTGTAAAAGGCAATAAAATAATTTTGAAATACACTAAAAATGTCATAAGAAGGCTGGTTGTGGTGGCACATGCCTGTAGTCCCACCTGCTGGAGGCAGAGATTAGGACGATCACAGTTTGAGGCTAGCCCAAGCAAAAAGTAAGACACCATCTTAATAAATAAGCCATGCATAGTGGTATGCATCTTGATCCCAGCCTCACAGGAAGTGAAGGTAGGAGGATCACAGTCCAGGCTGGCTCTGGGCAAAAGCACAAGACCCTATCTAAAAATTAACTAAAGGAAAAAGGGCTCAAGTGGTAGAGTGCCTGCCTAGCAATATGGAACCCTGAGTTCAAACCCCAATACTGAAAAGTGTGTGTGTGTGTGTGTGTATATATGTATCCCAGCAATCAGAGGCTGAGGAAGGAATATCGAGAGCTTGAGGCCAACCTGGACTACATAGCAAGACCCTCCCTCAAAACAAACACACACACACACACAAAAACTGAAACAGGAGCTACCATTGGCAGGACCTCAGCAGAAGCCTGTCTCCAACCCTAATCCTAGAGAATTGTTATAGGGGCCAGGGGGCCAGGATCCCTCCACACCTCTGTTCAGACCCCCTGCAGACCCATCTTCATGGGTCTCCCACTTGGACTATAGCTGGTGTGGATGATCCCAACTAGATTCAAGAGCACTGGGTTCTGAGGGGGTGGTTGCTCTGTGTGTACCTTCTCCAAGCTCCTCCACAGATGTGTGAAGATAGGAAGGTCCATGGGTGCTTGGTGTGGTTGGGGAAGTGTGTCCTAAGAAGACACCACAGGAAGTGAATAGAGAGACAGTTCAGGTCATTTCCTCTAAGCTGTGACATCAGGTTCTCCCCACAGTCTTCCCTGGGCCAAAGACACGAGGAGCCTTTTCCTAGAGTCAGCCCACACTGCCTCTGGGGGAACTTCTGCTCTGTGGGCATCCAGGGACCCGTCGCCTCCAGCCCTAGGTTTCTAGGTGTGTTCTGCAGCCCATCTATTGCAGAATCATTGGTGAGACAGTTTCCACATGCAGGTTTCTGGGCCCTACCTTCCCTGCTGCTCCAGGATCTTGGATGGTGGGCCTGGGGGCTGCATTTGTGAAGCAACCCCCCCCCACACACACCAAGTGTCTTGTGCAATGAGTAGGCAGACAGAAGAGTTTTCCTTTGTGAAGCTCTGCAGGCTATCTGTTCGTAATATCTGGCTGGTCAGGTCAGAGCCTGCAGCTCTGCCTCCTCTTCCTCCTCCTCCTGCTTCTGCTCCTGTTCCTCCAGGCTGGGCAGGAGCATTCTGTCCATCTTGTCCAAAAGGAAACAGGAGGCCAAGAGAATGTGCCTCAGATAAGGAGAAAGTCAAAGGCTAACTCCAGGCTCAGGAGCCCTGCACCACAGGAGCTTTCATCTGAAGACTCAAAGGCAGAATGTCCTTCCAAGTCAACAGAGAGGTTTGAGAAGAGATCTATCAGGATGCAAAGAGATGTCTGGGACACACATGGAAGCCTAGGGCTCTGCAGTGGCTCCAATCCCTACAGTGATAGAGGCTCAGTTCAAAGGAGCCAACACCCAGGAAACAAAGTAGCTGCTCCAGAGGAGCCTGTAAGCCCTGAGCAAAGGCCTCAGCCAGTCATGGGGACTGCCAGGTGAGCCACAGGAAATGACCAGAGACACAGGGGCCAAAGTGATGAGAGAAGGAAGATGTCCTTAGCTGGAAAAGATGCCAATAGAAAGGGCCCTCACAGCAAAACCTGTGAAACAGAAACCCATACCAAGCCACATCTAGCCAAACTGCTGAGTGCCATGAAAACAAACAAACAAACAAAAAAGGTTGGGGAAAACATTGCCATGATTTCTTTCAGGGAAGAAGCCCCAGCTAAAGCTCTTAGGCCGTAGCTGTAAGACCTCATCACTGTCAAACTCTCGGGGACCCTGGCTGCTGAACTGAAGAACTAGCTAGCTCTCTGTTATTCCTGCTCCCATACTTCAACCCTTTAGGCTGCTGGGATCACTCAGGTGGTAGAGTGCCTGCCTGACAAGCACAGGCCCTGAATTCAAACCCCCAGTACTGCAAAAAGAAAAGAAGAATTTCAGCCTTTAGGGAATTGGGAGCCATCTCCCTCTCCCCATGATGAAGGGTTTCAGTGCATCCTGCTCTGCCATCCGTCTGTCCATACTCCAGAGTATGCCCCATGCTGACTGTCGTGTGTCCATTTGTCTTGCAGGGCAGTCCCCCTCCTGGGCTATCTACCTCAGGACCTGATCGAGACACCTGTCCTCGTGCAGCTCCACCCCAGCGACAGGCCCTTGATGCTTGCCATCCACAAAAAGAGTAGGTCCCCCATTTCACTGTAAATCCCAGGGGTATGGCAGACTCTCGTGAACATGCATGGGGCTTCTTCAAGACTATCCTGCACTCTGACAGGTCAGGTCCATGGAGGATACTGACTGGTGGTGGATGCCCTGCCTCCCTGCCTGAGTCCTAGGCTGTCAGCCCTTGGCAAGGGAATAAAAGAGGTGAACGCACCAGGGTCCTTTGTGGCCCAGGGCTTGAGTCCTTGGCATCTCATTTGTACTGTTGGCTTCCATGGCAGAGGGGAGAGAGGAGACTAGTTCAGCTGTGGCTTTGAAGGCTCTAACTAGCTAGAGGAGTACATAGTACATGTCCCCACCAAGCCCAGCTGCATAAATGCAGGTGACACTGGCAGAGACACATGTCCTGAAATATGAGATGAAACAGTCTCTGCCAGAAACCACCCTTTGTTGAAAGTTTAAGCAAAAGGGGTATTGAAAGTGGTGGCTTTGAGTTGTTTGTGTCCCAGGCAAGCTGCTTGATGTCTGTCCTCTTCTGAGCACACTGTTCGCTCCCCTTCCCTCCCTGAATGCTGTTTCCCGCTCTCCTAGTCCTGCAGTCCGGAGGGCAGCCTTTCGACTATTCTCCCATTCGGTTCCGTGCCCGGAATGGGGAGTACATCACACTGGACACCAGCTGGTCCAGCTTCATCAACCCATGGAGCAGGAAAATCTCCTTCATCATCGGGAGGCACAAAGTCAGGGTGTGAGTGCTCTGAGGGCTTGGGAGCTCAGGGGCCTCTGGGGATCCTGGCCTGTCCTCTCTTCCCACCAGCAGGTGGCGTAGGCGGGGCCCAGAGACCAGGACCAGAGTCACTTCCTGCCACCTACCTGTGGGGGAACCCCAGCCAGGTGGGCGGGTGAGGGGTGGTCTGACCAGGTGGGAGGGACCTCACTCTTCAGGCAGAGTGGGGAGTGGGCAGGGGTGGCCTGGGGAGGAGGCAGAGGTCTCAACCCAGCATGCAGCATGGGTGCTGTCTGCTCAGACCAGAGAGGCCCTGGAATGGGCCCTTCTAACAAGACACATTAAAACTACACAGGGGCCCCTTGAATGAGGACGTGTTTGCAGCGCCTCCATGCCCAGAGGAGACCCCACACCCCAGCATTCAGGAGCTCACAGAGCAGATTCACCGGCTGCTGCTACAGGTGGGTGCTGCACCTGTAGGTGCCCTGCCCATGTTGTGCCCTGCCCTGGAGTCCATGCCCCTCCAAGCAGCACCCTGTTGCCCCTGCCCTGGTCCCTGGCCTGTCTCCTCATGCTTCCATGTGTCATTCTCTGAATGTCCTTGAGGGACCAGTCTCAGATGCTCCCAAGCACCCTTGGGTTTTCCTAGCCTGGAATTTACCAGTGTCCAAGCCGTGACCTTGAACAAGCGGTTGGTGGGTACCCAAACCCCATAGCCTGCCACACAGTCTGTGTGCGACCTCTGTGGTGTGGGGCTCACTCCATCCTGGCCGCCAGCACTGGGACCTTAGGGACATTACCTCACTTAAAAAGCAGTGCAACCACAGACCCATGCTGGAGCAGGTCTCTACTCTCAGTGACAGACTATGGCATTTAACTGTGACTGTGTCAGTGTTTATTTTGATGTAACTGCCAGAGGCCGTAGCCGTGTGCCAATGAGCAGACTGAACAAATTCCCCTTCAGTGGGATCTTCTTGGGGACTGCACACCTGGGATTGGGGCACTGCAGGAGGAGGCCAAATGTCCACCTCAGAAGCCTGAACCTGGGGTTCAAGCCCCAGCTCCCCACACCCATCCTCTCATGGGCAGGCTGCCAACCTGTCCACAAGTGTAGCCAGTGCCAGCCTCCACTGCATCCCTGTACCACATCCATAGCTGTGTTTGTTGTCCCCTCAGCCTGTCCCCCACAGTGGCTCCAGTGGCTATGGGAGCCTGGGCAGCAATGGGTCCCATGAACACCTCATGAGTCAGACCTCCTCCAGCGACAGCAACGGCCATGAGGAGTCTCGCCAGAGATCAGTATGTCCCTCTGTTCTTTCTAAGTCTGTCCATGCTTGTGGAAAGTTAGGAAGCGTAATGGAAAGTTATAAACACCAGTGTAATCTTAGCTGCTCTTCACACTAAGCTTTGCTCCCTGGGATTCGTTTTACAATTGCAAGTTGAAGCTAAAACCTATAGTTAAACGTCTAGAAGAAAGTTCTGTAAGGAGGCAGAAGCAGCAGAAGTGAGGGCTTAATTGGAGGATAAAAAGAGGAAGCAGTGTGCCATTTCTCTTCATTTTTTATTGTTCTTCAGGATCATCAGATAGCTCATCTAGCTCTGACTCTCTTGATTTCTTATTTAGATTGACCAGATCTGGGCAGGGGTATAGCTCAGAGGTAGGGCACTTGCCCAGCATATGTGTGGCCCTGGGTTCCATCCCTAGCATTACACACACACACACACACACACACACAGTGACTGAGCCAGTCCTTGTGTTGCTGGAATGATTTCAGCTACTCTGCTCTCACTGGGGCGGACAGACAGAGGGGGTCTCCTAGAATCAGTAATGAGTCCGTTTTGTTTTCCTTTAAGGAAATTTCTAAAAGTGGTAGCAGGACCAAAACCAAAAGTCATTTTTCTCATGAATCTGGAGAACAAAAGAAAACATCTGTTCCAGGTAAAAGAACTTCTTCATTCCCTTAATAACGCCTTACTATGGTAGAATGAAGAGGGCCTTGGTTTAATGCTCACTCTGGAGGGGAGGGAGGGAGGTTGTCCCTTAAGTGTGTGCTGCGCCCCTTCTTCACTCAGCAGAAACACAAAGGCAGAACTGTCTGTCGTTAATCAACAAGTGCAGATAATGATGTCTGAGCAGGCACCTGTCTCCCTGCAGGTGAGGTGTAGAGTATGTTTCTGTCCCCAGGCCCTCCCTGTAGAGGATTCTGGGAGCTATGCTCTTGGTGGCTTGGTTGTCTCCTCACTCTACAGAGTGACTGTGCAGCCATGCGTTCACACTTAACACAGAAACAAGCACACACACACACACACACACACACAGAGCACACACACATACACGCACACACATGTACACACACACACAGCTGCCTTGGCAGAGTCTGCCCAGTCACTTAACCATTCTCAGAACCAGACCTGTCTGCAATAGAAAGCACAGTGCTGACTATTGGGGGGCACAGCAGTGACGGGACATGACTCTTTGCTTGAGGGCCCAGGGGGGCTGGCCTGCAGTGTCTGTCTATGGTAAGGACAGGGTAGAGCCCACAGCATAACGCCCAGGCAGCTGGTACCGTAGGATCATGACTGCCCAGGAGCACATGGGAAAACACAGCCCTGCCCAGGAGGAGCACAGACACCTGGGATCTCACTAGCCCCAAATTCAGGAGTTCAAGTAAGACCCAGCCTCTCTCACTGCTGATCCTCAATCCCTGGGGACAACCAAGGCCCAGTGCCATCCTGCCCAGTGAGAGGCAGGTACTCGTCCAGGTGGCAGCTTTCTTCGAGTCCCTTCGCCCTGCACTGCTGTGGCTGCGTTTCCATACTGGTGAAGCATGTTGTGAGACCCCAGCCCTGTCTTTGGGTAGAACAAAATGCTTCCTAAGTATACAGTGTGCTCTTTGGGAGGAAAGTAGTCAATGAAAAACAATTTTGTCATTTCTTCAGAAATGCAGAGTAGCTTCCTGGCTCAGGTGAAAGCTGTTCCCGCCACAGAGAAGAGCTCAGGGTTGAGCTTACCCAAAACCAGCTTCCCCGAGGAGTTGGCTTACAAGAGTCAGCCCTCCTGCTCCTACCAGCAGATCAGCTGCCTGGACAGCGTCATCAGGTATGCAGGGCACTCCTGACCTTCCCTGCCAACCATCATGGTCCTCATCATCCACACCCTTGCACCTACACAAAGCTCTCCGGTTCTCCATGCAGATACCTGGAGAGCTGCAGTGAGGCCGCCACACTGAAAAGGAAGTGTGAGTTCCCAGCAAATATCCCATCAAGAAAGGCCACGGTTAGCCCTGGGCTGCATCTGCAGGTATCCTGTCTTGTTTTGAGCTGTTGAATTGTAATAACTTAAATACCCTGCAGTGAAATCAGAAGTCATTTTAAGCCTTGAGGTATGCTTCTTCTCTCCCGGATTAATTCTGAGGGGCTCCTTGGATACAGTGTAAGGGTGTCCGCTGTGTTTTTGAATGATTAAAATAGCTCAAAAGTCAGCAGTCTTCTTTACAAGTTAGAGTGATTCTGATCAGAGAATGGGAACCTGCTAGGATTGCTGGAGGCCTAGGGACATCCTCTGAGACCTGCTCGCACACAGTGCTGGCCTCATTCTGGGGCAGGGCTCTTTCAGAGGAGCCCTTGCCTATGAATGGTGGTAAGACCCATAGTCAGCTGAATGCTCAGGCTGCTTGAGTGCTGTGAGTGCTGCTGAGGGTCATGATCAGGATAGAAATAGGGCATCCCATTATCTAACGAAGTACAGAGAGAACTGCCACCTCCTGCCTGTTGGCAAAGGCCCTATTCCACAGGCCACCTCTGCCTCTACCACAGTCACTTCTGCTGTGTCCCCTCCTAGAGCTCTCAGGACCTAAGTGTGAAGTTGGTCCTGCATATAACTTCCTCTTCACTTTTCTCCTGCGATCAGACATTAAAGACAAGTCATCCTGTGCCCAGACACAAGTATCTGTGGGTGGGATGTATGCAGCTGGTGTGGGGCCTGTGGTCACTTCCGTAACTGCTCCTTAGCCGAGCAGTTCGCTTTAACTGTGCATTTGTATTTGCTTCTGTTCTCTCTTACGAAGCGGCAACGCTGCCCTCCAAAGTAAACAGCCACTCAGAAGTCAGCGCTCACTTGGGCTCGCTGGCACTGCCCGGCAAAGCTGAGAGCGTGGCGTCCCTCAGCAGCCAGTGCAGCTACAGCAGTACCATCGTTCACGTGGGGGACAAAAAGCCACAACCCGAGCTAGGTATGCTGATGGGTCCTGGGAGTGTACTGGCAGCAGTCTTATCTTTAAATGAGAGGTTTGACTGCCATCTTAAACGTTTCTTTAAGTTTCTCTAAGCTTATCAAAGAACCCTACCATTGCTCACTAAGGGAGATTCCAGGAAATCCAGGTGCATAGGAGGCAAAGGTGGGATGTGGCCAGCCAGGGCCCAAGTGCCACACTTGCCCTGGTCCCTCTTGCACTATGACACTTCCTAATTTACACCTACTGTGGTGTAAATAAGGAAGGTACAGGCATGCCCCTTAGCAGTTGCAGAGACACCACTAGGCATGGGGCTCCTGTGTCCTCACTTCCCTAAAGGACATGGGGCCTTTTCTCCACCCAGCCTTGCTCCCAGAAGGATGTGGGACAAGAGCCAGTACAGGTTGTGACAAGACTTAAAAGCATAGTGGTGTTCTTAGCTGAGTTTTCTTGTTCTTCCAAACACTGTGATTTAAATGAATCCTGAATTTGTTTTGTACTGGAAAGAAGATAATGAGGAGCAAAGTACCTGCCAGAGATGGGTCCCCAAGTTCCCAACCCACATACTCTGTCCTGTCCACCACCATAGGCCACATGGTCACAGAAACCTCTGTGCATGGTCCCCACCCCAGAGACACAAGCACTCAGCCTTGCCCGTGTGTTCTCAAGGTGACATCAGCCTCAGAATATGTCCCAACAACAGGGCTGAAGCTCCACGTTCCCAGATTGTTTGCTTAGAAGGACTGACTCCCGAGCCACTGGAACCAGGGCTTTCTGGTTGCTGCTTTGGGCTTTTGTATAAATTTTCACTTTTGAAGGCAAGCATGGGGAATCGCACCCTCAGGCCATGGGCATCATGGAGTACCTGTGTGAGTGATCTGCGCTCTCCATAAAGATGCTATGGACTAAAGTGAGAGGGGCACCTATGGACCACAGCCTATGTCTCATTGCAGAGGCAGTAGAAGATGCAGCCAGTGGACCTGAATCCCTGGATGGCATGCCGGGTGGCCCGAGTCAGGAGAAAGGACCCCTGCAGAAGCTGGGCCTCACCAAGGAGGTGCTGGCTGCTCACACACAGAGGGAGGAGCAGGGCTTCCTGCAGAGGTTCAGGGAGGTGAGAAGGCTTGGCGCTCTCCAGGCCCACTGCCAGTACTACCTGCAAGAGAGAGCCAGGGCCCAGTCAAGTGAACGAAGTAAGTGACGATGGCTGAGTTGAACATACATTTTTAAAATGTTATTCTTGTAGGGACTGAGTCCTGTGCTGGTTTCAAGATGTGAACTGTGCCCAATTCAGAAGCGTTTACATGAAAGAGAGCCCTTAGAACTTTACTGGTGATACAGTGTGTTTCCACAGAACGCTGCAGCCTGGGGATATAACCTTGTGTTCTCAAGGGAAGAACATTATAAATACCAACACAGTCCTAGGCTAGCCCCTGTGGATTTGGAGTCAGGGCCCTGAAAGGTAGTTGTGACTGAGGACTCCACTCTCACCTGCACACCCAGATAAGACCCTGGGTTAAAAAGCGAATTCAGTCCAAAAATAATGAGCGCAGGGTTGTAGGAATGTTGGTGGTGGGCTTCTGGGGATGGAGGGAGTAGCCATGCCCTCCCCCCAGTAGATGTGCCCATCAGGCCAGCGTGGCCTCAAGCTGCAGTGCAGACCCAAGGATGGGCAGAGCCATGTGCATGGTGCCAGAGGGCCCAAGTGCTCCAAGTTCAAGGCACAAAGTAAGAGGCTGGCTCCTCCACCCCTCCTGTTCCAGAAGCTCACTCATGGCCCAGCCGCTGGCCCACACCCCACAACAGGGCTGGCTCCTGCCCCGATGTCTTCCTGTACCATCAGACAGGGCCTGTGCTGCTCAGAGACACTGCCTTCTCTCCTGGCTTCAGGGCTGTGGCTCAAGTTCAGAGGCAATGAGCCCACGAGACAAACCACCAGGACTATCTCCCTGGATTCTGGGAAGACACTATGAAGGGATTTACAGAAGCTGTAGCCTCCTTGAGGATCATGTCTTTTCTTTTCCTTTTTTTTTTTTTTTGTGCTGTGGATTAAACCCAGGGCCTGGAACATGCTAAGCACCCACTCTACCGCTGAGCTACTCCCCATCATGGTTATGTCTTTTCCACTCTTCTCACCTTCTTCCCCACGCTCAGGATTATTGCCAGCCCACAGAAGCGCTATAGAAATGAGAAGAAGGCACCCTCCTCCCTCCAAAACAGACCCATCCTGTGGGCCCAGCTTAGTGCAGATTTCTAGCTTTCACTCACCCCCTAGACCCAGCAGCTTGTAGAGTAGTACATGGACCACATGGCAGACTAGGGCAGTCCTGCCCAGACCTGGATGTGATATCCCAGGATCTCAGATTCTGCAGGAGAAAGAAATAGGGGAAAACAAATAGAGGCTGAATCACAAAGCTTCCACTCTAAGAGTACTTTACTCAGGCTAGTCTATTTATCTTCAGTCTTTAATAAAGGAGCCCTGTGGCACAGCTAACAGGTGTCCCCACACACCTGCTACCAGAGCCCTTAGTTATCCTCTACTAAGAGGAAAACAAGTTCCTGGGAACCATCCCCTCCCTCAGGGAGTCTCTGGGGACACACACAGAGTTCCTTCCATCTTAGTTGAATCTTCCTCCTCCTGAAGAAAGCTTCATTTCAGCAGCCTCTGCATCAAAGAGGAGGACTGTTCCAAGGGCAAATATGACTGTTAGTCAGCTTCTGTCTATGACAGAATACCTGAGACAGTCAACTTACAAGGAGGAAAGGTTTATTTTAGCTCACAGTCCATGGTTGCTCTCCCCATTGGTTTGGGTTTATAGTGGCACAGTCCATCACGGTGGGAGAGTGTAGTGGAAGAACTTTTCTACCTCAAGGTAGCCAGGAAACACAAGGAGAAGAGGCCAGGGTCCAGTATCCCCTTCAAGGGCACACCCCCAGTGACTTAACTTCCTCACTAGGCCCCACCTTTTAAAGGTTACACCAGTTCCCAATAGTGCCATCGTCTAGGGAACACATGGGCCCTTTGGGAGGCCCTCAAAATCCAAATTGTACCAGTTACCTCCCATCTTTTGGCTTCTGCTCAGGCTTTGTTTGGCAGACAAAACAGGAAACCTCTCTTTTTTAAGGGAAGGCAGTGATAAAACCTGTAAAACTGAAAAATAAGGAGGTTAGATGAGGTCAGCATTTCTGTCTTTCACAACTGTTGAATTGAGAGGTGCCTTCTTGTTCTGAAATTCAACAAGTCTCTGTGAGCTGACATAATGGGAATTACATGCATTTTTAAATTTTAACTCTGGCTGGTTTTTCATATTTTAGCTGCCCCTGGATTAAGAAATACTTCTGGAATAGATTCATCTTGGAAAAAAACTGGAAAGAACAGAAAACTGAAGTCCAAGCGGGCCAAGCCTCGGGATTCCTCTGAGAGCACAGGGTCGGGTGGACCCATTCCCCATCGGCCCCCACTTGTGGGTCTGAATACCACAGCCTGGTCACCTTCGGACACGTCCCAGTCCAGCTGCTCTGCTATGCCCTTCCCCACCCCAGTGCCAGCTTACTCACTGCCCATGTTCCCAGCACCGGGAATAGTGCCAGCATCAGGGACCATGGCCACCCCACCTGCGGCTCCCCATACCACCTTTGCGGTGCCTGTCATGCCTGTGAATGCCCAGAACCAGTTTGCAGTCCAGCCCCTGCCATTCACTGTGGCCCCTGTCATGGCCTTCATGCTACCCAGCTACTCTTTCCCACCGGCAACCCCAAACCTACCCCAGGCCTTGTTCCCCAGCCAGCATCAGATTCCAGGCTACCCCATGCTCGCCTCTGAGATGATCCCTGCCTCACAGCCGGAGTTCTCCAGTCAGACCTCACTCCTCAGGCAACCATGCACTTGTTCAGCCACCCCGCCACCTTCAGCCATGGTGGTGGCCACAGGCAGGGCCTCCCCACCACTCTTCCAGTCCCGTGGCAGCTCACCCCTGCAGCTCAACCTGCTGCAGCTGGAGGAGACGCCTGAGGGCAGTGCTGGGGCCACTGGGGCCTCCGGGACCACAGGGACAGCGGTGCTGGACTGCATACCTGGCACTTCTCGGGACCGGCAGCCAAAGGCACCTCCGACAGTAAGGAACCTCTGATGCCCCTTCTCGCAGCAGGCAAGCATACAGCATACTGGTGAAGGTCAGGGCCAAGCCTCAGCACAGGTGGGGACGTCTGGTACCACCCACCAGAGTAGATTATTTGGAGCTTTTTATTGTGTGGAATCTGAAGGAAGGATGAAACACTGGCAAATGCAGAATCCAAGTAGCAGCATGTACTTTGTTGAGAGCATTTATAGGGCTGGAATTTCTAAGTAATAAATACAATCAGGTGAAATTCCAGACCTCAGGCTCAGGAGGGCAGAGAACCTGACTCCAGCTCACCAAGAAAGAGTAGGAATTCTGTCCTCTTGCCTGGAAGCTGATGTTGCCCAGTGTCCATCCTCCAAAGCCTGTAGGTTCACCGGTATCAGGTTCTTTCCCAGTTAACGTGTTTGGGAAGAGTTAGGTGTGTGGTAGCATTAGTCCAAGTACAGTCTGTTGCACTCGGAGGAGGGAGCTAGTTTGGGGGATGCCCTGCCTTTGTGGGGAGCTGGGGTCTAAGAGTCCTCTTCTGGGAGGAAGGGGGTCCTTACCGTTCTCCTAGTACCCCTTCTATCCTGATTCTCATTTCTGGGTCCTGGGGCTACCTCAGGTTTCCCAAGGCCAGGGAAGCTCTCTGAGCCAGTCCCCTTCCTCACTGCCAAGACAGCCCCACTCGGGTGCGGTGTCTCAGCCATCGTGAGGAGGAACTGAGGGGTGTGGACAGCATTGTCCTCATCTCTATTGCTCATGAGGTCTGGAACCTGGAACCTCAGCTCCACAGTCTGATGCCTCTCCTAAAGCACAGTTAATTAGATTGCATTTGTACGGCACTGGCCTAGCCCCACACTGCAGGGTCTGTTTATTTGATGCCCGAAGGACGGCCTCATTCTCTAGTACGTGAACCACCCAGCTCGCTCCCTCTACCCTGACCCCACTCTGCACAACTTTACTGAGTGTGTTGTGTGATTACTGAGCCCTGTGAACAGTAGTGTCTTTTTCTCCCTGTCCCTAAAGTGCAATGAGCCCTCAGACACCCAGAACAGTGATGCCCTGTCCACATCCAGTGACCTGCTCAACCTCCTACTGAATGAAGACCTCTGCTCAGCCACAGGCTCAGCACTGTCTGGGAGCGGGGCCTCTGCCACCTCAGACTCTCTGGGCTCCAGCTCTCTGGGTTGTGATGTGTCCCGAAGTGGGGCAGGTACGTTGCTCCCAGGGTACAATGGGGCTCACCTGGATGGTTCTCACAGGATAGTATGTCCCAGCACCTGTGCTCAGGGTTGGCATTACCCAGCCACTCTCCAAGTGGCCCTGAGCCACGGTGGTGCACACACGCTTATGCACTCCTCTTGACCTGGCTCTCATGGCTTACCAGCAGGGAATGCCCTAGCAGGTCAGAGCTCTGTGTCCTACCTGTTTGCTTCTGATTGCAATGTCACTCAGGCCTTATGCCTCTCCCAGCCCTTTGTTGAGCCATCCTTCCAACTCCCCGGGGTGGCAGGTTACCCTCCTGAGTGGGTTGCACTTGTGTGTATACATGACACCTACAAGCCTTTGCTGACCAGATTGTTCAAGTGTGATCCAGAGTAGTGATGATGGAATCACACAAACCGTCCTCAAGGTCCAAGCTCCCCTTCTGCCCTGGGCGAACATTTCCTTGCCCTTGGCCCCAAGACCTTTCTGCCCAGGTGTGCTGTCTGGAGGTGCCATAGGCCAGGTCCTCTCCTCTTAGGACACTTTTCTGCTGGTTTCCAGAGTCAACAGACAGTAGGAACTTGGGGAAAAGGCCAACATTCTACGATAGTGCCCTGCCTAAGCTCAGGGCCTCTCCAGGCAAGAATCACCTTCATGGTGCTAGTGGATATCCTGTATTCCAATCTTCCAGATCATTCAAGAATTGGAAGTGAAGGGAAACCCAAGCCTCCAAAATTGACAGGAAAGGTTATTTTCATGTTTCCTGTTTTTAAAGGCAGTAGTGACACAAGTCATACCAGCAAATATTTTGGAAGCATTGACTCTTCAGAGAATAATCACAAAGAAAAAGTGCGCACGGCCATGGAGGAAAGTGAGCACTTCATTAAGTACGTCCTGCAGGACCCCATCTGGCTGCTGATGGCAGATGCTGATGACAGTGTCATGATGACATACCAGCTGCCCTCCCGGTAACCACGGAACTTTGCTAGGAACCTGGAAGGGCTGGGGTTGAGGAGTTCCCAAAAATGTCACTCAGACATGGCAGGACCCCCTTCATAGGCCTGTCTTAGATTAGTGAGGGTGGCAGAGAGAAGCAAGGCCAGCAGAGCCCTGCAGGGTGACCAGGTCAGTTAGAGCCCTATGGAGTCACCTCCCACATGGTGCCACGCTTGGTATTTATGGTACATTTGTGGCAGCATTGTCTCTTGGACTCTGTTGCCCTGTCAGCTGATGGGGTAAATGGCCTGTCAGTCTGTCTGAGAGTTGAAGAGGTCAAGGGTTGAGGTGGGTGATCTTAGCACAAGGCTTTGTGACCCTGGGTCTGTGCCCAGGTCACCTTTGAGTCAGGTGGAGCTGGACATGCTCCCTGCCCTTGCAAAGGACTCCAGGTAGAGAAGCTGGGGGAGAGGAAGACAAGAAGGAAGGGTAGCCCTGTGGTGACAACAGCCAGGCCTCCGGTTGGGAGTCAGGAAGACTGGGGACTTAGCTCCAGGACAGCTGCAATCCAGGCCATTGTCATCAGGACAGAGGTGCTTCTGCTTCCTGTAGTATATATGGTGAGAGCAAGCCTGGGTAGCATATTACTTGCTAGGGAGATAAAATTACCTTAAGCAAGATAATTTATCTTAAATAAAAGGAAATTTGCATTAAGCAAAATCAATCTAAAACTACATTAATATTGAAAGAGTTGGTAGAAAATGAGTACATTCTTAAAAAAAAAAAAATGGGCTTGAGGCATGGCTCAAATGGGAGAGTGCCTGCCTAGCAAGTTCAAACCTCAGTTCAGCCACACACACACACACACACACACACACACACACACACACACACAAAAACCTTCTTCAGGCTTTGTGAAACTTGTGTCTAACTCTCCATGAAGGGACCTCGAGTCTGTCTTAAAGGAGGACCGAGAGAAGCTGAAGCTGCTGCAGAAGTCCCAGCCCCAGTTCACAGAGGACCAGAGGCGAGAGCTGCTTGAGGTCCACCCCTGGATCCAGACAGGCAGCCTGCCTGCAGCCATCGATGTGAGGGTAAGCTGTGAAACCCACCTTCTGACATGACATTAAAGGTTCACACGGGGGACTTGCTGTACATCATCACGGCTTTTCTGTTGATTTCACATGTCTAGAATTTAAAGGTTTTTTTTAAATTTTTTTAAATTTTAGATAAAGTGAAAGAGCCAGTCATGGTGAATCATGCCAGTATCCTAGCCTCAGGAGGTAGCGGCTAGAGGATCATGAGTTTGAGGACAGTCTGGGGGACTACATAGTGAGACTCTGTCTCAAAAAAGAAAAGGAAACAATTAAACCATGTCACCTCTCAGCTTGAAATCCTTTCTCAGAGTAAAATGGATGCCACTCTCTCCTGTCTCACCTCCCATTTCTCTTCCCTCCCTCTCCTTCAGCTGCCCCCACACTCACCAGGCAGGTACCTGTGCCGGGATCTTTGTATTCGCCCTTCCCTCTGCTGGGAATTGCCTTTCTTCAGAGGGGCTAGGCTCACAATGGCTTCCTTCCAGCCTGTTCTTCACAGGCCTCTGTATGGATGTCTTTGCTGCAGAGCACATGGCCACAAGACTTAGTGTCTCCACTCAGTGCCTGTGCACTGTCTCAGGTCACTTTCATGGGTCAGGAATTTGATTGCTGCTAAATTGGGTGGTTCTGGCTCAGAGTCTCTCATGAGGTCAAGGCAAGATGCGGCGAGGCTCCCATAATCTGAAGGCTGGAGGCTGCCTCTAAGAGGCTCACATGCAGGTCTGTTGGTGCTGGTTGTGGCCAGGAGGCCTTGGTCCCTTGTCCTGGTGTTTGATGTCCTCTGGACATGGCAGCTGATTTCCCGGGAGAACAGGAGGAAGCCGCAGAGCCTTTAAGACCTAGTCTCAGAAGTCATCTACTTCCTAAGTCCAGCCATTCTTAAGGAGCAGGAAATGAGGCTCCACTTGTTGAGGGAGGAGGGGCCGAGAACATGTGGGTTATGTGATACTGTGGCCTTTTCTGAATGTCCATTTAAAACCAGCCCTTCCCCACAGTGCCACATGCCCTGCTCCAGGAGCATGGCACTTTTCATCTGAAATGCTATGGAGCACTTCTGCTGTGGTTACTGGCCCTGTCCTGACCAGAAGCCTGCTCCCTGGGGCAGGGATTTGCTTCTGCTGCCGGCTGACTCAGGTGCACACCTGACATCTGTCACCTGCACCCTGCTTAAATGACTACAGCAAAGATCTCGATCTCTTACTTCTTATGATGTCATCTTTTTTTTTTTTCTTCAAGGAATGTTTTTACTGTGAAAGCGAGGAAAAAGTCAACACTTGTGTACCTTACGAGGAAGACGTCCCTTCCCTGGGACTCAGTGATGCATCAGACACCAAAGAAGAAGAAAGCAGACATCCCCTGAGTCCCAGGAAGGAAGAACAGACATAGCTCCCAGCCCGACAGCCAGTGACCTGCATTAGATGGTGCTTGGAAGAGAGGAAGATCTTCACATTTGTTTCTAATGAAATGAACAGATATACTTATGTTGCTTTTTTTGTTTTAGAAAAAGACCGTAGTTTTCTGGTGACTTAAAACTGTGGAGGAGGGGGAAGGTTTAGGAAGAAATACGTTTTTGTATTTAAACATAAATATGGAGTTGGGGGGATGGGGTAAGATTTTGGTGGCTGTTGAACTTGAGGAAGACTGAGACCCGCTGTCAGGGAAATTGCCACAGTTCCCTGAGAGGTCCCTTGACCTTGAGGAGACCTCTGTGCAGGGCACCAGTGTCCACTGGCCCCTGTGATTGTCCTAGACTTCACACCAGGCTGTGATGTGTGACAAACAGCCAGAAAGCCATGTGGGGCTGTGAGCTGGGGCTCCAGCCCTAGAGCTTTCCCAGGGTGTTTTGGATCAGATCAAATTCTCTCCTGTCCTGGAGACTGCTTTGTATCTAGATTATCACTTCGTCCAGCCAGGTGTGTGTCACATGCCAATCGGAGAGCAGTCCCTCTCCTAGTTTCCTTTCAGAGCCTCTCTCACTAAGTGGCATGGAGCATAGTTTGACTGCTTTGGCTTGGGGCACTGGAACCATAACATTTCTGTCTGACATGGCTTTTGTTATTAAACAGAGTTGAAGTGTTTGTTCAGGACGAACAGCGCCTAGGAGCCTACTGTTTCTGTGACCAGTGACATTCGGTTAATGCCAACCCCACGCTTTGTGTATTTCTACATGGTTCTTGTATCCTTTTTAGACCAGCATGACCGGTTGTAGAGAGAAGCCTCATCAGTCCTCTCGTCCTATCTTTTTGGTGGCTTCTCTCTGTGCACCAAGCTTTGACTGCCCCTTTTGGGACCTGTTCCTGGTATTTCTTCTTTGGTTGGAGCCTCCCAGACATCAGCTCCCTGCAGAGTGCAGCTGTGGCCACACTTCTGATTCCATCAGTATTTTCAAGGGTGTGGGAGCTCAGCCCACCCAGTGCTCTGGGCTGGCTGCCCTGCCCACCATATTTCATGAGCCCCACGGCACCTGGTGAGGCTCCAGGTCTCTGTTGTGACATCTGCCCGTATTGCTGAACACTAGGGGAGAATGAAGCCACTCTGCTCCCCTTTACAAAGCCTCCTGGCAGTACTACACATCCCAAAGACTGTTAGGAAAAGCTTAGTATTGGCCCTGGTGTGAATGAGAAGTCACCACTGATAAATCAGTAGACATAAAACTGGATCAAATCTGTGGGGCTGAAAAGGAAGCCAGGTTTTCCTTGTTCTTCCACAGAGAAGCAGCTACGGGAAAGGTGGCGTCTCCTTGCATTGCAGTTGGGCTGCCTAGTAAAACCATTTATGCCTAAATATTAATCCTACTTTTCATAAACACAACAACTCTTTTTAAACAAATTTATGAAGTAACATCACTTTCTGATACCCAAGATAAGGTAGTAGCCTGTTTTTATAGAAATCAGGTATTATAGACCACTGCCTCTCTCGACAGATCCTACGGGAATATATGAGGGTCTATGGCTACACTGACTTAATGTCCCTAAACACAAAACTGCCAGAACATTCTCTCTACTGTTATGAATGTTTACCATCAGCACTGTTCTGTTATTTAACGTATGCTCATTGGTTGTTAACTGCTAAGAAGTTGACTCACTAGGATAATTTTGTGAATCTGTTTACATGATGCAAGCATCCAGTCCTGTTTTCTTTAGAATGTGCGCTTACACGGGTGTCACAAAACTTGTTCTCTATTTTAAACTGAGCCTTCTTTTTAATATATTCCTGAGGAGATATGTAAATAAGCTCTCCAAGTTTGTGTGATGATTTGTTGAGCCTTGCCGGACAAATGGTTTGTTTGTGTGCAAACCAAACTTCCTCACCCAGTGCAATATATTTGTGTGACTGCTTGTGTCTTTTTATGACTTTTTTGCCTTTTAGAAAATTGGTAAATAAAGCGAGTATATTTTTATTTTAGTCATATGTTTTATTTTTGTGGTGCTGGCATCAAACCCAGTACCTCATGTACTTTAAGCATGTGCTCATCTAGCCCTAACCTAACACAGACAAAATACTGGATAGCGGGGAGATTATCAAATGATGTTTTCCAATAGAGCTCCAAATATTCTATAGTAGGAACTCTTCAATCCTGAAGGCTAACTCTGCTTCTCTTGTACAGTTTCCTTCTGGCTGTTCCTGTGTGTGTGTGTCTCACACTCATCTTTCCTGGCCCAATTCACAACAGGCCACAGGAGTGAACTCTGATGCAGAGCTAGCCATGCAGTCCTTTTCCCTTTTCATGCAAACGGAGAGCTGTGACTGCTTGGCTCAACCATAGACCCTCTCCACATTCTGCCTGACCCCAGTCACCCACTCTGTCCCCTTTACCCCTGCCCTGTGTAGTCTTGTCTACCTGGATTGGTCACAGGACTAAAGGTGGAGAAGTCAGAAGGATGCCATGCTGGAAAAGCTCCATGGACACTCTTGGCAGAATCTCCCACCCTGGCCCTTTTTATAGTGATGAAATCTTGTGAGACCTTTCCTCCAGCTGAAGAGGCTGCTCTTCTTCCTCCCACTGTCCAAACCAGGGCCCTGTGGTCTAGAGCACCAGGATAAAGGATCCTGGACCAATGCCCAGCCTCTGGGAGGCTCTCTGAGCCTGACTGCCAAACTCCTAAGTACTGATGAAGGAACCTGAGGCAAAATTCTGGTAGATTCAACTGTTTGAGTGAACTTCTGAGTGCCTTTGGAGGACTCTTGTACTTTCTTTACCATAAAACCCTGAGGGCACTCCCTCTCCTTTATGTTCAAACCAAAAGGAGATTCTCCGAGCAGCTTGGGCAGATTGCCCACGAGGGACCTGGACATCTGCAGGCTGGCTCCTGCCTTTGTTCCCCTTGGGAATTTATGGCCTGCCACTCCTGCTGCGAACTGGTCCCCATGGCCACTGCTTAGCCTTTCTTGGCCTCTGTTCCTGACTCTAGGAGGATCAAAGGGTCCAAGTGCTCAGGAAGTCTGTGCTCAGGGAACTGTGAAGGCAGGATGGTCCAAGGAACAAATGTCAGGAAGTGGGTCAGGTGTGGGAGGTGGAAAGAAGGAAGGAGGGAGGGCCTGGTTGCCCCTAGACAGAATAAGAATAGCCAGGCTTCTGAGACACACAAAGCCCAAGCCAACTGACCAATGAACCCACTAAAGGAATCTGCAGCTGACTTTGCAGACAGGCCCTCAGGCAACTTCCAGTCTACCTAAAAGGGTTTGCTCTACCCTAATAATGCTCTTTCCTCTCAAGAGTACTTGGTTACCGTAAGGCATGTCCCAGTACTTCATCTCTTTCCCTCAGTTCCACACAGCATTCTTCAAACTCCCCCCCAATGTGTCAGACAGGGCTTTTGAGGGCCCGAGCCTTTGCTGCAATATCTTGTCTTTGTGGGGGTTTTTTTATTATTATACATTTTTATTAAGATATATTATTATATGGGGGGATTCATAGTGACAATTTGACTAGACTTATATTGTACATTATTTACATTGTCCCATTCTTGCGTTTTTATAATGCTAACTTTATATCATACCCCATAATCATAATAAGCTTTCCTTGTCTTCTCTATAGATTGATTGATTCCAAATCTATGAAGTATTCATTGTTGTGACTATGAAAGAAGTATTGGCTCCTGAGACAAGTGATGTGCTCACATTTCCTGGACAGATCTTTGTTCCTCCTAGAGTTCCTAGTTGCCTTTCATTTTTAACTTCACCATTTGCCTTTATCAGGTCCTCCTTTGCCCCCTACCTTCTAATTCCCCAACTGATCAGATGTTCTCTGGACCAATCAGGTCCAGAGGCCTGCCCCAGAGCCCTGCCCCAGAGCCCTTACCATGTTGTACCAATATGAGCTACCTTTCAAGGAGAGCATTCTAAATGTGTTTGGCCTTGTTCACTTGGCTAAAGAGTATGAAATGATTTGTAAACTTGGGAGTGCAAGAAATATTACTGCATGAAGCCCTGAGTTCAAGCCCCAGCACCGCAAAAAAAAAAAAAAAGAGAAAGATTGCTGAGTTTTAGTTTTCCCTATCTCAAAATGGTGGAACTTAACTGAAGGGCATCTTCTTTCCTGGAAGATGACATCTAAGTGGTAAGATCACAGACTGGCTCTAGCCTCCACTGGGATCCACCACTCCAGTCCTCAGACTGTCAGCTCACCACCTGGAGCCAGAGGAAGGGCAGTAGGGGGTCTAAGCAGCTCCTGGAGCATGGGTGGGAGAAAACCAAGTTTTTTAGCTTATGGGGGAGTGGATTAATGGTAGAGCACACCCAGGTGATTGACAATAGGCTGGGAAAAGTAGGGGGAGAGAGAAGGGGAGCTGTACAGAGAGGAGCAACTCAGAGGCAGAGTAGGAAAAGGTGGGGGCCAGAGAGGTAACTTTGGGGAACTTCAAACCTCTCCCTCAATCCATCCTACCTGAAGCCTTTCTGGACCCCCTGGTACACAGTCAAGAGAGGGCTGCCAGATCCATCTTCAGGAAGGTGGAGGAGGGTCTTCCTCCCAGTCCTGCCACCCTGCCAACTACTGTAGTCCCTGATGCTCCCCTCCCCCTGCGGCCTTCCAGCCATGCTAGAAACACCCCCTCATCTCCCCTACAGCCCCAGCTCATGCAAGGGGCCAGGGTCTGTGCTGAGGGTGCTGGGAGGTGGTGAGAGGTCCTAGGCCCTTGGAGGAAGGGCTCAGAACAGCCCCTGCCAATCCCAGCGCAGGAGGGTAGTTAGGGATTGGGTGAGGACAGGGGCTGCCGCAGGGGCCAGCACAAGGCTGATGGCCTGGGACACAGAGAACACTGGGACCTGAACAGTGAGGAGACAGCCACTGAGGAGGGCTCAGGGCTGCTGGGGCGGAAGGCTGGGTGTGCACCAGGGGTAGGTGCTGAGAAGGCATCTCGGTGTACGGGCTCTGCCGGGCGGCAGCGGGGGCCCAGGCACGCAGAGCCGGAGCAGGGCCAGGGTCCCCAGGGCGCTGCCCGAGGGCGCGCGCGGTCCTGCCGCCTTCGCACCCCCCCGCGGCGAGCGGGGCCGGCAGATGGACGGCCGGCGGCGGGGGTCGCGGGCGTCTGGTCCACACAAGCACGGCCGCCGCCGCCCGTGGGACAAAGCGGGCGAGACAAAGGCGCGGCCAACACCTGTCGCTCTTGGCGCGGCCGCCGCTTTTCTCCGCCGAGGCGGCTGCAGCTGCCAACTGTCACGGGCATCAAGTTACGGGGCCAGACGGCAGCCCGGAGGGCGGACGCGGGAAGGACGGGAGGAACAAAGCGGGGGCGCGAAGACACTGGGAGGGAGGAAGGCCGGGGGTGTGGAAAGGGGTGGGGGCCGGGAAAGGATGGGAAAACGGGCGGTGGAGAGGCCAAGGAAGGCTGGGGGTGGGGAACGAGGGCGAGGAGGAAATGAGGGGCGCTCGAGGGGTGGCGGGAGGGGGAGTTGGGGAGGGCAGATGGTGGGGGGGGTGTAGTGGACGAGTGGGTGACCAGGGAAGGCCGAAGGCCGGCGGTTCGGGCAGGAGCGTCCGTGGACTCCGCCTCTTTAGGATTTTGGTGCCAAATTCTCAAAGAGGACCGCTCCTATCCCTGCCTCCCCATTGGACCCCCACACCCCCAGGGACCCGAAGCCGGGAGCGGACTGGAGACCACGAACTTGACTCTGGTCCCTCCTCTCCAGGAACCCGCCCTGGGGACTGGCGCTAGAGTGATCCTCTCCGGAGGCACCTTTGGTGAAGCCAGGGAAGGTCGAGGGCATGCTTACGGGGACAGACGGAGGGAGGGAGGGAAAGAAGGAGAGAGGCTAAGAGGGATGGACTCGTGGAGCGAGTAATCGACGTCTAAAGCCCTGCTCGCACGCACGGCGGATACCGAGTCCTAATCAACAGAGGGAAGAAAACCCCGGGGTCAGCGCCCCATCCCCGGGTGCCGCCCCCATAGAGAGGGCAGGCGGCTGCGTAGGGGGTCCCTCCCGGCCCCGCCCGCCAGCTGCCAGCCAGCAGGGGCGGCGGGGCAAGACAAAGCGCAACGTTCGCATTGGCCGCAGCACGCCTTGTGCCTGGCAGCTCCTGGACCTCACAGCCAATCAGTGAATTGAGATGCAAATAAGTTGCTATAAAATGGGCGGGGCGCCGCGGGCCGTAGGACAAGGAGCGAGGGCTCGGTAGAGATCGCTGCCGGGTGGCAAGGGGTGCGGGCCTTCGTCGTGCCTGCCGAGCTCCCGGCGGTGTGGACCATGGCTCCGCCCCTGGCGCCAGGCAGGGACTGTGGGGGCCGGGAGGAAGAGGACGCCGGGGAGGCGCGCGGGGACCGCAAGGTGCGGGCCGGGGCCTCGGGCGGATGGGCGAGTGGGAGGCTGCTCGGGGCCAGGGCTCAGTGGCCCGCTTCCCACAGGCCCGGAAGCCCCTGGTGGAGAAGAAGCGGCGCGCACGGATCAACGAGAGCCTGCAGGAGCTGCGGCTGCTGCTGGCGGGCGCCGAGGTGCGGCGGGCGGGCGGCTGGGGTGGGCGCCAGGGACTGGGGGGTGCACCCGGTGCGCGCGGCCCGGCTCACCGCCCTTCCTCATCCGTGCAGGTGCAGGCCAAGCTGGAGAACGCCGAGGTGCTGGAGCTGACAGTGCGGCGCGTGCAGGGCGCGCTGCGGAGCCGGACGCGCGGTGAGTGACTGCGGGGCTCGGGGGCGGGGGTCTATACCCGGGCGCGGGGCGCGTTCGCCCAGCCTGCCTCTCCCCGGGACAGAGGACATGTCCTCCCGGCGACCCTGTCCTGTCCTGACACGCCCTTGACACACGCGTGTCTCCCGGGGGAGCCCCTCCCCGACCCCGCGGGCCAGGCGGGCCGGGCCATGGCAGTCACCATTCACGGTACCGCGCGGCTCTCTCCCTCCCACCCTCGGGCGCAGAGCGCGAGCAACTGCAGGCGGAAGCGAGTGAGCGCTTCGCTGCTGGCTACATCCAATGCATGCACGAAGTGCACACGTTCGTGTCCACGTGTCAGGCCATCGACGCCACCGTCTCAGCTGAGCTCCTGAACCACCTCCTGGAGTCCATGCCGCTGCGCGACGGTTGCAGCTTCCGGGATCTGCTGGGGGACGCTCTGGCCGGCCCGCCCGGAGCCCCCGGGAGAAATGCCTGGCCCGTGGGAGGGGCCCCGGGATCTCCACTGCCCAGCCCCCTAGGTCCTGGGGACGACCTATGCTCCGACCTAGAGGAGGTCCTGGAAGCTGAACTAAGTCGGGCGCCTGCTGAGGGGCAGGACTTGGTGCCCACAGCCTTGGGCAGCCTCACTGTTCCCCGAATAGCCCAGAGTGTCTGGAGACCTTGGTGACCAACACTAGCCAGGGACCTGTGGGGGTGGCCATGGCCTTCCCAAGCTTTACTCCTTCCCTGGGGTTCAGATGTAATGGGGTAGGGCCCAGGGTGTGACACAAGTCTGCCCTCCCCCCTCCTCCAGTGGATGGCTTTCAGGACAGCCCCTGATAACCAACAGTCAGCCGGGCCCCTAGCCCTGTTTCTGGAGGGAGCTGCTTTCATGGACCTACAGCTCTGAATGAAGGGAGAGAAAAGCTACAGGGAGAAAGGGAGAATCTTGGAGATCTCCCAGGGCTCTCCCAGCCTTGTCAGGCACTGTAGGACCTTGGAGGCAGAGGAGGTCAGAGCAGTGTAAGCCTCTCCTCAGAGCTGAGCACGAGTGTCCAGGTAGCAACACTGAGGCCATGGGAGCCTTGGCCTGAGTTGGCACTTCAGCCAGGAGACCAGGAGAGGCAAGCACATTCTGCAGTGTCACTTGGAGCTGCTCTCTGTAAACCTTGTTTGTAACACACATGAGTTTGTGTATTTGGTTGCCATCAAATGCTCTGAATGAATTAAAGATTTTTGGAGTTAGCAACATGTAACGTCCTGTCATCAATGTGTCAGAGGTTTGATTGCTAAACTAAGCACATTTTTCCTGTGCCCAGAGCTAGCGAGTGTCTTTTAAGATCTCTCATCCTTTGTCAGTGGGGTGAGTTGGTGTAGTGGCAGGTCCTCACGCCTGCCTTCTTTTCCTGGGAATCGGGTGTCTAGGACTCTGTTGACAGGGGGTTTGTCTCAGCCTGTTCCTGTACTGTTTCTCTTGTCCATGAATCTCCAGTAATAATAACACTGATACCTAGTTGTTAGCTCTTTGGCTTGGGGGTGTCTTTCAAAGACCTGGTTTAGGATCCATGAGTATGACACAGATGTCAATGTCCATCTGCTGTATTAGGTTGTCACTTTTTTTGTAGGGAGCTTCCTCTTGTTACCACTGACTTCAGGGACAAGGAGACCTACCAAGTTCTTGAACCAGGAGGTCAGATGGAAATGTTATTTTCCCCAGACAGACAGTATAGACCCCAGACAGACTAGTATAGAAGGTGTCCACAGGGACACAGATGGGGAACAGGCCCTCTTGGGTACCTTCTGTCTCATGTGGCTCCCAACCACATCCAGAGGCTACTGCAGTGACTTCAGATGCCATTTGGGGAGCACTAGCCAGGAATGCTTTGGAGGAATACCTCTGACATCCACTGGGAGGTGGTCAAGGGGAGCCTGTGCTCGCCCTGCTAGGTGCAGGAGGCTAACCTGGGGCCAGGACCTGCCTAAAGTCAGAAGTTGCTGACCTAAAGCTGGCCCCTTTGCAATCCTCGGGCTCAGTGTAGGGGGTGAGAGCTGGTCTTACCTGCGGCACAGCCTAGGACCACCAATTTCCCTATCTGCCTATTTAACACTGCCTCCTTTCTCTGCAGCCCACTTGCTTCATCACAGGCTTCCTGCTAGGTGTTCCATAGCCTGGCTTCATCCTTCCCTGAGAACTGCCTCTCCCCACACCGCTGGTCCTTTGTAATAATTTTCTATCGCAGCCACTACAAATTACCATGAACTTGGTGGCTTAAAGCACATGTTTTGGGGCCAGGCATGATGGTACATGTCTGTAATCCCAGCTATACAGGAAGCATGGATAGAAGGATCTGGTCCAAGGCAGCCCCAAGCAATTGAAAAATAACTAAGGCAAAAAAGATCTGGGAGTGTGGCTCAAGTGGTAGAGCACCTGAATAGCAAGCTAAAGAGCCTGAGTTCAAACCCCAGTACCGAGACTCCCCTCCTCCCTGCAAAACACACACACACACACACACATTATCTGGCAGTTGTATAGATCAGGATTCCAACACCGTATTCAGTGGGTTCAAATCAGGGTGATGGCAGGCAGAGCTGCATTGCTTTCTGGAAGCTTGAGGGTGATCCACTTCTTGCTTGAGAAACTACCCACAATCCTGAGCTCCTGGCCCCTTTCACCATCTTCAAAGCCAGAAGCATGGTGCACCTATCTGTCCTTGCCTCCATCAGCCTGTCTCCTGCTGGCCCTTTCTGCTCCCTTCTTTTTCCTTCTACTTTAAGGATGAGGCCTACCTGGAAAATCCAGACTAATCTCCCTAATCTCAGTCTTTAACTTAATTCCTGGTCACAATTACAAAATCTCTTTTGCCATGTAAAGCAACATATTCACAGGTTCTAGGGATTAGGATGTGGATGAGGGGTTACTCTGCCTACCACAAACACTGGCACCTAGGACCAGTCAGTCACTCTGCTTCCCATCAAGAGGGTGATGACTCAGTGGCTCTGCTGTCTCCACTGCATTCATTTTTCCTCCCCTCTGGATCAATTTTGTCAACCTACAAACAGGCTGTAATACATCCACCCAGAAGGAGAGAGAAAATTCTCTGGACCTGATGTTCCCTTGTCAGCCTCTGCCTTTCTCTGCTCAAGAGCAAAATTCCTCAAAAGCATCATCTACACTGACTGTGTTCACTTCTGCACCTCTCCTTCTTCATTCATCTCTGCTCCTACACTGAATGCACCCTATCAAGATCTCCAGTGACAAAGCTGGGCATGATGGCACATGCCTGTAATCCCCACACTCAGGAGGCAAGGCAGGAGTATCATGAATTCCAGGCCAAAGGACACAGTAAGACCCTGTCTCAGAAAACTCTAGTGGCGCTCCTGTTTCCAATCCAGCGGTCATATCTGCACTTTCAACTTCCTCAGACTTTCTTGCAACCTCAAGAGCACACACTCCCCACTGTCCTACCTCACTAGCTCTCCACGTCCGTCTACTGGAGTCTACTCTCAGCTGACCTCTAAATGTGGGTGTGTTGGTCCCAAGGCTCTGTTCATGTAGTCCATTCCTTTCCTCTCCAGCCTACTAACTCCCCTATTCTCCTGTCCACTCAGTGTCTCGACTACGATGTCAAATGGGCATCACAAGCTTACGACATTTCACCCCCAAATGCACTGTGCTTCCCCAGGTGGCGCCGCTTGTTAGCACCCTAGGAAGTATTTCAAATAGTCTTGAAGCCATCCTCTCTTTCTTTTCCTGCCATCTCACTCCATGAGCACTACTTCTGAATTCTATCTCCACTTGGCTGTCTTGCCAAGCGGAGAATTCAAAGCACCCTCGTTCTAACCTGAGCCCAGCAGGCTTCTCCCCTCCGTCCTAGTTCACTCCCGGCTCTGATCGCGAACTTCAAGGCTCCTCTCTGACCCCTCGCTATGCCCTGCTTTGCACTTAGGCCTTTGCAAGCGACCCGAGAGCCGAGACCGGCCATTCTTGCTCAGCCCCGCACGCCCTGCACTTGGGCCCTTCGAGACTATTCCGAGCAGGCATTAGGAAAGCCGAAACGATTTGGCAGTGAGGGAGCCAGAGCTCAGCAAGCCGGGGACAGCCGGGATCCGACGGCGCCCAGCGCTCGGATACTCTCGGAAACGTTCGGAGGAGCTCGGAAGCGCTCGGAGACGCTGGGCGGGAGACGCTCACTGGAGCAGAGGCCTTGGCCACGCCCCTCCGCGTCTCCACCCCGCCCGAGGGGAGCCGCGGGGCCTCCTGGGAGATGCAGTTCCACCGCACTCCCAGAGCCTTCCCGGGTCGCCGGGTACCGTTGGTGCCAACGACGTCAACGGCACCAACGGCGCCCGAGGGCCTCGCGCCGCCCACTGAGGCGTCGGCGGGGCTGGGCTGCATCTCTCCAGAGTCCTTGGGGCAGAGAGGAGGCGTGGTGGCGTTCCGCCCTGGGCCACCGCAGCCGTGCGCCGCCGCCTGATGTGGAAAAGTGAGGCCGAGTCCGTGGGGTCCCCGCCTGGAATGTGAGTAGAACAGCGGCGAGGGAGGTGCGGCCGGGGGCGGGGCGCACTTCGGGCTGCGGGATGGCACTCGGTGGTGGACAGCCGGGTCTTACCTGATTGCCAGTGAGTTCTGGGATTTTAATAGTACTGGGAAGCAGGAGGTCCACCTCCTGGAAGCTCTCAGGCTTTCTGCTCTGGCATCCATCCTCACGGGCAATACTTTTAACCTGCGTGTGGATGGCCCTTGCAGGTCCTGTCCTTCGTTATCCTCAGGAAATCGTGACTGTGCTCTTAGATATCTGAGTCAACAGCCGCGCCGTGGACCTTGTCCTTCCTCCCTTGTCGGGCGCCGAGGCCTTCAGCTCCAGCCTTCTGTATCTCATACCGCGTCGAGGTCTCCTAGTTACTTATTCTTCCCTTCATTCTGACATTTTTCCTTTCCTCACCTCCCTGCTCCTCACAAAACTGCAGCCACCTTTCCTGCCATTCCGCCGAAAGCTGCTGGCGGTGTCCAGGGGACAGCAGCCGCGGACGTGACCTGAACGACGCAGCCACCTTGGGCACCTTTGAACACTGAGCTGTCTAGAATTTTCTTGCTTTTCCTTCAGCCGTTCCTTTTAAGATTCTAGCAAGGACTTGTCTCAGCTAGCCTTTGTTACTGTTCCACGTTTCTTTCCCAGGCCTTCTATCTCTAACCTATGATCTGTATGAGCTCCACGGCCCCCGCCACTGTGTCACTAACTCCAAAAACTACTCCAGCCTGGTCTCCTCTGAAGTTCTCACAGAATTTATCCAAATGGACTGATGAGCACCTCCCAGGTATCTCATAGGTTCTTCAGGCTCAAGGTCAATCCACACTCAGCTTTTCTGCAAAACCTGCACTTTTTTTGTGTTCTGGATCCCTGAAAGCAACATGGCTGACCTCACTCCCAGGGGCCAGAAACCTGACAGTGAGAGCCCCTAAATTCCTCCTGCAGCCCCACTCTGCGCAGGTGTTCAGGAACTGTTGCATCTGCCTTCTTAGTGGTCTGACTGGAGGAATGAATGAATGTGTTTGCGTCCTGTATTCTGTCCTTTTCTGCCTACTGCTGCCACCTTAGCTCATGTTCCTATTGCCTGTCTGGAGAACGGAGGTGGTCACTCAGAAGACGCCCTGTATGGAGTGTCAGCTCCTGAACACTTCTGAGTCACAAAGTGTAGGAGGCCAGGTCTCCCTTCCTGTAGGCCAACTCAGAACTTCTTAGCTAAGCCTCTGAGCCCCTTCCTCACCTTCTGTTCACCCCTTTGCCAGGCTTTTGTTTTGTTGCATCGCCAAAACCCTGCTCTTCTCTGCTGGCCTTCAGGGCTGGCTCAGAGAGCACCTGCTGTAGAAAACCTTTCCCAGTTCTGAGTAATACATAATATGATGGGCCTATTTACATACCAGGAAGAAATATCAGTAAGGTTAAGGGCACAGTGAATGGTACTGTGGAAGCAGGGTGCAGTTTCAATGCAGTTGATCAGAGATGGCCTCCTGGGTAGCCTTTATTTATGCACAGAATGAATGATGGCTCCTGAATCTATTTGACACCTTGTTATTGCCCATAGGTTATTTATATCAGGGTTCATTCTTTTGTTTTGTTTTTTGATACTGAAATTTGAACTCAGGGACACACTTGGTAAGCAGGTGCCCTACCATTTGAGCCACACCCAGCACTTTTGCTTTAGTTATTTTTCAGACAGGGTCTCAATTTTTTTTCTTTTGTCCTGGGACTGGTCTCAGACTGTGATCCTTCTACCTGTGGCCTGCCGTGTAGTTGGGATCACAAGTACATGCCACCACACCTGGCGTATTGATTGAGATGGAATTTCATGAACTTTTTTGGCCTCAAAACACAATCCCCTTGATCTCTGCCTTCTAAGTAACTGGGATTACAGGTGTGAGCCACCATGCCCTGCCCTGCCCAGGGTTTGCTCTTATAATGTTGGGTTTATTCTGTGTGTTTGGAAAAATGTAGGATGACACACATCCACCAGTGTAGGATCATAGGCAGTATGTAGGATCACTGCCCTAAAAATTCTCCATGTTCTGCCTATTTATCCCTCCCTCTCACCAGTCCCAAGCAACCACTTATGTTTTTACTGTTTCCATAGTTTTGCCCTTTCCAGACTATTATATAGGATTTTTACATCAAAATTTCCAAAGGAGGGGCCAGGCAAGGTGGTGTCTCCTTGTAATATCAGCTACTTGGGGGTGGAAGTAGGAGTGCAGTCCAGGTCTACTTAGGCAAAACTAAAAGCTGTCTGAAAAACTAAAAGCAAAAGGACGGGATGTGGCCCAAGTGATTGAGAGCTTGCCTAGCAAGCTCCAGGTCCTTTGTTCAATCCCAAGTATGGTAAAATTAGAATTTTAAACAATATGTATAGCTCCACATTTCCAAGGGATTTTGGTCTATAGTTCCCTTCTGTGGCTGTCTTTGTCTGTCTTGGTGTCAGTGTTTTGCTGCCTTTATGAAAATATTCAGAAGTTACCCTTCGTTCCTCTGTGTCCAGAGCAGTTCAGGTAGCATTGCAATGGCCCAGTCCTTGCAGTTCTGGACAAGTCTACCTAGCCTGATGCTGCTGTCCAGTTCTGTGGTGTTTCCAAATGTCTTCATATGTCACTCAGGAGGAGGTGGGGTTTGCTTGTTTTCTGACTCTTGACCCTTGCATAGGCAGTTTTTTTGTTCCAGTACTGGGGATTGAACCCAGGGTTTTGCATATGCTAGGCAAGCCCTCTATCACTGAACTATAGCTCAGCCCTTTTTCAAAAATTTATTTTGACCTGGGAGGCTACAATTGGAAGGATCTCAGCTCTAGGCCAGCCTGGACAAAAGTTTGTGAGATCCCCATCTCAACAGAAAAAAGCTGGACACATTTGTCATCCCAATAACAAGAAGAAGCATAAAATAGGAGGACTGAGGTTCAGGCCAGCCTGAGAAAAAAGCAAGAGACCCTACCCCCAAAACAACAAGAACAAAAGGGCTGAAGGTGTGGCTGAAGCAGTAGAGTACTTGCCTAGCAAGCACAAAATCCTGAGCTCAAATCTCAATACTGCCTCCCCAAAAAGAATTTTTATATTTTGAGACAAGGTCTCACTTCGAACTTTCTGGCCTCCTGCCTCAACCTCTGGAGTAGCTGGGATTACAGGTGAGTACCACCAGGCCACACTGAACAGGAAATTTGTCTCTTCTCTATTCTTTCCTATTTTCTTTCCCCTCTTGTACCTCCTACTGGTCCTCTCTCCCTTCCCTTTGTCTTAAACCTTTGTCTCTCTGAATAATGGGAATTACAATACTGCCTTCTTTGTTTTGAGGATTAAATGGAACCCTTTATTTGCTTTTTGTTTTATTCTGTTTTGGTTTTTTGTCAGTACTGGGGTTTGAACTCAGAGCCTCATATTCAGGAGCTCTATTACTTGAGCTCCAGCCCCAGCCCAAATGAAACATGAAACTCTAGAGCTGGCTCACTTGTTTCTTTTTGTCTGCACTGCCTTCTGTCCTCTGTCTCCTACTCTCTTACCTTTCTCTTTCCTCGCCCCTGTGCTTGTGTGTCCCAGGTCTCCTTTCTCTTTTCCCCTTCCTCTTTCTCTGCCTTCACACTGTTCCCCTTTTCTATCTTTCCCTCACCCCCAACCTTGGCCTATCCTTGCCTCTGTCCTGGGCTTCTCTTCTTTGTCTTTCTCTAGCCTTCCTCTGCACAGCCTTCCTACTATCTGACCTGCTGTCCTGCCCTTCTGGCAGTGGGTATGAAAGGGGTAACAGCCCAGCGTCTGCAGGGCAGGTGGCATCTTCTCCTTGTTTCTTCCCTGCAGGATTCAAGCCCTTAACCTACTGGGGCAATACTTTGGCCACCATTTTCACCATGCTGAGAGAGGCCTGCCAACGCCCTGAGAAGCAGGACGCCCATGAAAGCGTTGCCTGTGCTCACCAAAGTGAGTGCTCTGGGGGAGTCAAGCCAGGCCACACTGGAGAAGAGCCTGAGATGGAGGCCTAGTGCCACCTCCCTGTTTATAGCCATGGTGCTCACACACAGCCCCTGCTGGTCTGACCTCTGGCAGCCCACAAAGCAGAGGTCCAGTGCAGGACAGGGCTTTTAACCAAACCTGAGACTTCCTAAAGCACTATGTGCGACTTTGGGGATGCTGGGACAAATTCAGGAGGGAGATCCATATGAACTGGCTCGTAAGATGGGATGTAATGGCTATAGAACTAGCCTTGAGACCAGACTCTCATTTTCTAGCTAAGGATCTAGTGAGAAACCCCAAAACTCGAGATTCTCAAAGGAGCCTGGCCATTGCTGCTGCTGGCTCCTCATCAAGAATCCCCCGACAGGTCCTGCTGGCTCTTGTTTTTTGTCCTCTGTCTTTCCTTGGCTCAAGACACACCAACTGCAATGCTGAGTCCTGGGACTTCTTCTGGAGGCCTGGCTGTGGCTGTGCTGTGCAAGAGCAGACAAGGTATGGGACTCTGTGGGACCTGAACAGACCCGAGGGTGGGGAGGGGAGACCCTACTTAAACCCCTGAGGGCAGCCTGTGTTCCCTGTGACTAGAAGAAGTTTCACCAGGAAATTTCACTGACTCCTGGGGTGGGTGCTGTCAAGGCCTCTGCCTTAAGGAGAACGTAATTTCAGGGGAGGGGAGAGGGGGGACTGACACTTCCTGATCTTTAGTATGTAGGACACAAAGCCAAGAGAGAAATACAACCAGGAGGGTTGTGGAAAAGGGACAAGCAGGCCTCAAGGAAGGCTGCTTAGAGGAGGTAGCAAGTGAATCCTGCAGGATTTGGAGGTTGGAAAGATGGGGCAAAGCTCCCAGGCTTTTTTGTTGGTGGGGATGTGGCTGTGTTGGGGAGGGGTATCACCCTGGAGTACTACTGCCTTCTGTGCTTACCTGCTTCTCTGTCTTCCTTTCTTTCCTGTTGTATGCAGAGCCTGCACACTCTGGGTCTGCTCCTCACAGTTTCCTGGGCAACAGCTTCCTGCAGTCATAACTGGAAGGCTGTGGGACTCCCTCACAAGCAACTACACTCCCTACCCTCCCTGGAAAAGGGCTGACAGCCAGAGCAGGGAGGGTATGTAGTGCCTGCATACCCTGAAAGGGTGCACCTAATTCTGTAGGCCTCTCACCTTAGATGATGAGTGATCTGTTGCTGTGTAACAAATTACCCCACAACTTAGCAGTTTACAGCAAGCATTATCTCACAGGTTCTGTGGGTCTGTGATCCAGGCCACTGAGTGCGCACCTCTGCCTCCAGGCTTCTCACAAGACTGTAGTCAGGGTTCTGGACTGGGCCTGTGGTCTCTGGGAAGGCTCTGCTGAGATGATTTAGTGAGCTACTGAACTTACTCCCACAGTTGTTGGCAGGATTCAGTTCCTCACTAGCAAATCCACGGAGGACCTTGTTCTTGTCTTTTTGTTTGAGTGAGGCCTCACTCAGTTCTTTGCCACATGGGCCTCGCCACAGCTCAGCCCCCAATATGGCAGGTGACTGCCATCTGATTGAGCAAAGGAGAGGATGTGTGGCAGGCCCCTGTAACCTAATTTCACAAGGGATGTCCTGTTGATTTTTGCTGCATTCTGTTGGTGTGAGTTCAGCCCACACTCAAGGGGATGGCATTACGCAGCGTGTACATAACACAAAGGGAGAACGCTAAAGGCCACCTCAGGAGCCACCTGGCATAGCTCACCTCATCACTATCTGTGTCTCTGCTCTTCTCCTGTCCCAGCTCTCTGGGAGTGGGTCTTGCCAGAGAGCACACCACTGGTCAGTACAGCGTTGCTCTGATGTTACTTTTTACGTTCTAGGTAGCTGTAGCCAGAGCTACAGTAACAGGACAGGCTCTGCTTACACCTTTCCCCAGATTGTCCTGAGTACTGTGAAAGCAGCTCATCTTCAGCTTCTGAGTTACTCCCTCTCCCTTTCCCTCAGATCTGGATTGGGCCCAGTCTGTGCTCCCAAAGGTCCCTGAAGGGGTAGAGGGGATGGAGGAGCACTGGGGAAATGGCAGGACAGTGTGAAAGAGAGCTCCACCCCGGAACCCTTGCACATATCCACACAGGATGCACAGACAAGGCTTACAGTATAGCGGAGCCTTTCATCACAGGGCAGTCATGTTTTCTCACTGTCTTCCTGCTCAAGGTCCCTGAGAAGCTGGCACCTTTGGCTGCTCTTCTTCTGTTGACTGTGCCAGTAATAAACTGAGTCTACAAAGGTCTGTTTTTTTAGTGCTGGAGATGGAACCCAGGGCCTTGTGCAGGCTAATAAGCACATGGTCTAGCACTGAGTTACATCCCCAGCCCTGAGCTTGTGTTTTCTCTACTGGTGAATGTTAACCTTGGCTTAACAAGATGGAAGGAGAGCTAGGAGAGAGGCAAAGGGAAGGGGAAGAGGGCCCAGGCCCTACCCTAGTTTTAGAGAATACTCCATACTTCCCCTTGCCCAGTGTCAAGATTCTGCTGCTTGCCCTTTGTCCTCCAATGTTCCATCCATCCTTCCCCCTTAAGGCCTGACTACTTCCTAAGGATATCTGAACCAGACTGATCCCTGCTAACCTGCCTGGAGAGACTCAGAAGGTGGAAGGGAGCTCATCCTGGACCTTGCCAGCCCCTAGATGGAGCAACAGTTGAAGCAAATCATGGGCCAGAACCACCTTTTCCCCAACACTTGATAGTGGAGATATGCAAACATATGGCAAAGTGAACTTGCATTGCGCATCTAGAGAGCCCCCTAAATGTACCACTCATTTTGTCACTTCCTCACATCTAAACCTTTAGTCCATTGCATTTTGGTGCATTTTAAATAGGCTTCCGTATACTTTTCCCTGAAACAGTTCTGCATGGACATCACTATAGTTCATTATTTACACTTTTCTTTTGATGTAAAGCTTACAATGCAGTGTCTACTTGTAAATGCACAATTTTTTAAATGCATTTACTGTTCTCACAAATGCAGACACCTCTGTAACCCAAACTCAGGACCCTAAGCATGACTATCAGTTCAGAAGTCTCCCTCACACTCCTTCACAGGGCAACCTTCACTATCCTGATATTGAAGCTTGATGCCACTGTGACTAACAGTGCTAAAAAGAATGTCAAGGCCAGTTCTGAAGTTAAGCTTGCAGTAAGCAAATTTGTGAGTCAAAATCCACACAGGATTTTTTTCTTTTTTTTTTTTGAGATACTGGGGGTTTGAACTCAGGGCCTTCACCTTGAGCCAGTCTGCCAGTTCTTTTTTGCAAAGGGTTTTTCCGAGATAGGATCTTATGAACCATTTGCCTGGGCTGGATTTGAACCCCAGTCCTCCTGATCTCTGCCTCCTGAGTAGCTAGGATTACAGGCGTGAGTCACCAGCACCCGACAGGATGTTAATTTATGACAAATGATTGAAGACCAGGCACAGACCAGCCGCGGTGGGAACTACTTACTGCTTGACTTCTGAGTGGGGGTTCTCTTCTGACCTGTACTGGAGGTGGTGGGAGAGGGAGGTCCAGTCCCCTAGTTGGGGAGACCCTCCCTACTCCAGGGGCTTGTGGTGCTGGACATTGCTGACCCCTTCTACCTCTACTACTAGTGAGGAGGTCCAGGGTGCTGGGAGACAGGACCAAGTAGGACGAGGGTTCCGGTGCAATTTGAAGGCGTGTAGAGAAGAGAGGGACGTTAGCCACCTGCCCTCTCACCCCTCCGGCCCCTGGATGTGGGGCCCCACGCTTGGCTCCCCCAAAGTAGATCCTCGCCTTCCCCACCTCCACCTGCCGGGGAGCTGTCACTGGGGAACAGAATTCCATATTGCACAGCACCCCTGCCCTGAGGAGGGAGCTGCAAGTGCCCCTCCAGGGTGATATCTGTGCCCCTAGCCCTGCCATCATCTGCTTTCCCTGATCTGGTCTCCAAAGTGCTGCCTCTGCAGTCTCTGCTCCCGAGGCCTTTCCATCGATGGTCAGGATGGTTCTCAAGCTTTACTGCAGGCCCTTGACCCGGTGGTGGGGCTCAGGTCCAGGGCAACTGCAGGGAGTTGCTCAGCTGACAAAGTCAGAAGCCTGGGTATAGCAGGCCTAGCTGTGAGGCTGGGGCAAGTTACCTGTCCTCTGGGCCTCAGCTTTCCAGCCTGCAAGGAGATGATACTGAATTTTGCCCGTCAGGGTTGTCAGATTAAATGAGTTCTAGTGAGTTGTATTCTTACAACGACCTTATCCACATTTTTCAGATGGAGGGGACAGAAGGCATGGGACAGAGAAGTTAATAATTTACTTAGGGTCACACAGCCAGCTGAGTGGCAGAGGATGGAAGTGAGGCGGCAGCTGGCAGTGGTAACACCAGTGCCAAGAGAGACCCAGTGCCTGGGCAGGGGAGTGAGGGTGGGCTGAGCATTTGGGTTTTGTGTTAGGGCAGCTGCAGCGGTGAGGGCTTCAGTGTGTGGGGGGATGGGGGTTCTGATCTGCCTTTTGTATTGGAGGCCTATCTGTCTGGACATCAGGAACGGCCTGGAGAATTGGAAAGCAGGGTGATGGGTGGGGTGTTAGGGGTGGGAAGGCTAAGGAAAGCCCCAAGTTGGAACTTTCAGGACCAGGCCATTGGGGAAAGGGAGTGATTTGGATGGTGGTGGCCAAAGGGAGGGTGCCCAGAAAAAAAAATTAATTGCATGTAAAATTATTTCAGATAAAAATTCCTTTCAGATTATTTAAGTCAAGTAAGTGGCTACTTTGTGTAAATCAGATGAAAAATTCGATATCTAAAGACACTTTAGTTTTCCATATCTCCATTTCAACTATGCAATCAGGACACCTGCCAAGTTGCTATTTGCTGTGTACTTTCCCCGTAATAATTGACTATCACCCAGTGATGGCTCATTTCCAATTTCTCTACTTTTTAATTTATTTTAAAATTCAGGCAATATATTAGTATCTCTTGCTAAAATGAACAGACATAAAACATACTTTTGAAGTTAACTTTTATGAAAACATTCCAAGAGCAGATTAGAAGCTTCCTTCTAATCATCAGCTTATGGATGATAGAGTCAGGGTGACAAAAGATTATATTGCCAAGAGAGAATGGAAGGAAGAGCATCTGGAATCAAGAAAAAAGGCAACAGAACAGCCATAAAGTATGGAGAAATGGAAGGGCAATGCAGAGAAGAGTAGTCAAGAGTCTGGAGCGTCAGCCCTGCAGGGGATTGGTAGGGGTGGGGGCAAAGCTGCAACCACAAGTTATTCTGTCATTTGTTGTAGTTGTTTTCTCCTTTCTGAGAAGGTTAATCACTAAAAAGACCATTGCTATGCCGGGTGCCAGTGGTTCATGCCTGTAATCCTAGCTACTCAGGAGGAAGAGATCAGGAAGATCATGGTTTGAAGCCAGCCTGGGCAAATAGTTCATGAGACCCTATCTTGAAAAGAAATCATCACAAAAAAGGGCTGTTGGAGTGGCTCAAGGTGTAGGTCCTGAGTTCAAACCCTAGCACCATAAAAAAAGACCTCTCTGTAAAACCAGAAGAGATATCTATCCTAACAGATGTACAAATCAAACTCAGAAACACAAGAAATATGAAAAAGTAAGGCAATGTGACTCCTCCAAAATTTCAAAACTCTTCAAAAACTGAATCCAAACATACTGAAATGGTTTAAGTCTAGTTTTAAAAATGATCAAGGACCTCGAAGAGAATTCAAATAAGCAGATGAGTGAAGTAGAGAAGTCAGTTCAAGACCTGGACAAGAAATTGAGCAATTCGGATGAGAAATTCAGCAAAGAGACAGAGGCTGGTAGAAAAAAATGGAAATCTTAGAAATGAAAAGCTCAATAAATCAAACAAAATCTCATGAAAAAGCAATGGCAATAGAGTAGACCAGGTGGAAGAGAGAGTTTCAGAGACTGGAGACAAGGTTGGGGAATTACTACATTTACACAGAAATAAAGAAAAAAATGTCCTGGGCATATAGCTCAGTGCTGCAGTACTTGTCTAGCATGGATGCCAAGTTTCAACCCCACAACTGCAAAAAAAAAAAAAAATTAGGGGTGTGTGTGTACACATAATAAGATGGAAGAAAAAAGAAAGCCAGGCATGGTGGGTCATGCCTGTAATACCAGCAACCAGAAGGCTGAAGCAGGAGGATTGTGAGTTGAGGGCAGCCTGGGCTACCTAGTGAGACAGTGTCTCAAAAAAAAATTAAGAGCTGGTAGAGTGGCTCAAGTGGTAAGGCACCTGACTAGCAACCATGAGGCCCTGAGTTCAAACCTCAGTACCATCCCCCAAAAAATTAAACCAAAAGAACAAAAAAATCAGTCATGACCACAGCATACAAGACCTCTAGAATACAGTTGAGAGACCAAATCTATGAATCTGTGGTGCTGAAGAAAGAACTAAAGTACCAATTAAGGCACAGAAAAAAAATTAATAAAATTATAGCAAAAGTTTCCCCAAATCTAGGGAAAGAAATGGACAACCCAAGTACATGAGGTATTTAGAACCCCAACTAGACATGACTGGAAAAAAAAGTCATATGATAGTTAAACTGCCAAGAGTGCAGAACAAAGAATGCCGAAAGCTGCAAGAGAGAAGAGCCATGTTGTTTACAAAAGCGAGCCCACGAGAATAACAGAAGAGTCCTTGGCAGAAACTATAAAGGTGAGAAGACCACGGAATGATGTATTTCAAGCTCTGAAACGAAATAACTGCCAACCAAGACTACTATACCCAGCAAAATTATCCTTTAAAACTGAAAGAGAAATTAAACCCTGGCAAGATAAGCTTAAATTAAAACTACTAAGCCAGCATTACAGAAGATATTTAAAGAAATACTAAAAGCACAGAAGAGGAAGAAAGATATACATAAGAATGAGAGTTCAGGAAGAATAAATCTCACTAGGAGAATAGGTAAGCAACTGAGAAGTAGGAAAGAAGCAAACATTATTATTATTGGAGGTACTGGGATTTGAACTCAGGACCTTACACTTGCTAGGTAGGTCCTCTACATTTGAGCCATGCCACTCAGTACTTTTGTTTTAGTTTTTTTTTTTGTGGGATGGTTTTTGAACGCAGGGCTTTGCACTTGCTAGGCAGGTTCTCTGCTGCTTAAGCCAGACCTCCAGCCCTTTTTGCTCTGTTATTTTGGCAATAGGGTCTCACTTTTGCCAAGGCCAGCCTTGATCACAACCTTTTTTCTTTTTTATTGTTTTATTATTCATATGTGCATACAAGGCTTGGGTCATTTCTCCCCCCTGCCCCCACCCCCTCCCTTACCACCCACTC